CTCCGTGTGGCTCCGTGTGGCTCCACGAGTCTCCGTGTGGCTCTGCGTGGCTCCGTGTTGCTCCTCGTGGCTCCATGGGGCACCACGAGTCTCTGTGTGGCTCCACAGGGCACCACGAGTCTCCGTGTGGCTCCACGAGTCTCCGTGTGGCTCCGTGTGGCTCCACGAGTCTCCGTGTGGCTCTGCGTGGCTGCCGTGTTGCTCCTCGTGGCTCCGTGTGGCTCCACGAGTCTCCGTGTGGCTCTGCGTGGCTCCGTGTTGCTCCTCGTGGCTCCGTGTGGCTCCACGAGTCTCCGTGTGGCTCCACGAGTCTCCGTGTGGCTCCACGGGGCTCCGTGTCGCTCCTCGTGGCACCACGTGGCACCACGAGTCTCCGTGTGGCTCCACGAGGCTCCGTGTGGCTCCGTGTGGCTCCACAAGCCCCACGGGGCTGACGGGCGAGCGCCCTGTGCTGTCCAAGCGCCGTCACCAGCCCCGGTGCCTGCAGCGGCAACATAAAGAAGCGTCCAGCAGAAAACTGGTGCTGCGCGTGCTGTGTTTGTTTTTGTGAGTGTGCGTCTGTGTGTCTGTGTGTCTTTGAGCGACTGTGTGTGTTAGCGAGTGCATGTGTGTCTTGTGTGTGTGTGTTGGGTGCTCACTAACAGCACTTACCACAACAGTCTGTTAAGGCTATACGGGGGATTTTTGTCTTTTGGCATGACTGTATTTGTGAGTTTGTGCGTGTCTATGTTTGGTGAGTTTTGTATTTGTGTGTGCGTGTGTTTGTACATGTGAGTGTGTGTATCTGTGTGTATGGGGAGCGGTAGGTGTAGCGGTTAGCGCTACTGCTGCGCTACGAACCCGGCGAACCCGAGTTCGATTCCCGCTCACGGCCAACACCGGTGAGAATTATCTGCACCGGTCCTGGTACCTCCCCTAGGTCGACTCGGCTTCAATTCGGTACCTGGTTACCGATGTGTATAAACATCGCCACTGAGGAAGACAAAGGCGGTCGGGCGTGGTGCTGACCACCCATCCTCTCCTGTGTGCCATTCTGGTACCTTCACAGGTCCCCAACAGTCTGTCGAGGCTACGTGGGGGATCTTTGTATTGATCAGAGTGTGTGTGTGTACGTGTTTTAAGTTGTGTGTGGTGGTGATCAGACCAAAGAGTGGTATTTGGTGGTTAGGTGTCAACTGTGCAAAGTCAGCAGAGGGCAGTGCATACAAAAACATCCAGTGTTGTGTCGTCCAGTGTTTTGCTCTGACGTGTGTCCCCCGCCTTCGCCTATCCGCACTTACCAGGGTGGTGAAGTATGGTCAAATAACCCCCACGGAACCGCGCGGCATTGGGGATGCCCTCGTCCCAGCAGTGGACTGGCAAAGATGTCTGTACGCACGTGAGGATTTCCCTGCACAAATGAGCATTGGGGCGATTGGTGCTCATTTCCTGGAGGCGAAATATTTGTTTTTTGTCCATAGGACAGCCGCTGTTGACTTCCCGTGCAAAAGTGGAGATGGGGGTGGGTGGGGGGAGAGAGGGGTAGGTGGGTGGGTGGGTGGGGAGAGAGGGGTGGGTGGGTAGAGAGGGGTGGGTGGGTGGGGGGAGAGGGGTGGGTGGGGAGAGAGGGGTAGGTGGGTGGGTGGGGGGAGAGGGGTGGGTGGGGAGAGAGGGGTGGGTGGGTGGTTGGGGAGAGAGGGGTGGGTGGGTGGGTGGGGGGAGAGGGATGGGTGGGGAGAGAGGGGTAGGTGGGTGGGTGGGGGGAGAGAGGAGTAGGTGGGTGGGTCGGGGGGAGAGAGGGGTAGGTGGGTGGTTGGGGGGAGAGCGGTGGGTGGGGAGAGAGGGGTAGGTGGGTGGGTGGGGGGAGAGCGGTGGGTGGGGAGAGAGGGGTAGGTGGGTGGGTGGGGGGAGAGCGGTGGGTGGGGAGAGAGGGGTAGGTGGGTGGGTGGGGGGAGAGGGGTGGGTGGGGGGAGAGGGGTGGGTGGGGGGAGAGGGGTAGGTGGGTGGGTGGGGGGAGAGGGGTAGGTGGGTTGGTGGGGGAAGAGGGATGGGTGGGGAGAGAGGGGTGGGTGTTTGGGGAGAGAGGGGTGGGTGTTTGGGGAGAGAGCGGTGGGTGGGGAGAGAGGGGTGGGTGGGTGGGTGGGGGGAGCGAGGGGTGGGTGGGTGGGTTGGTGGGGGGAGAGAGGGGTGGGTGGGTGGGGGGGAAGAGGGGTGGGTGGGGCTGGTTGGAGTGGGGTTGGGTGGGGGATGCAAGAGGTGATTATGGGTCAGGTCTGCTTAGCTCCATTAAACATTACATCGATTCTACGACCTGGCCATTATGAACGAGGCGGCGGCGGTGACAATGTGAAATGTGCGCTGTGTCCTGAACGACTTCATTAAAGTGCAGCCTGAGTTGTTTTGTTTTCCCCCCTCTCTTTGAGACTCAACTTAATTGAGAAACGTGTAGTCATTTATTGTACAATGGAGAGAGAAAATTATTCGAAGCTTATTTCAAAGTATAAATATAGATTTTTCTCTAATTGCTCAAACATGCGCGTGGTTGTTGTCATCTACCTGATAACATCCCTGAGCCAGTGATGGGAATTCCACATTCATGATGGGATGATATTAGAATTGGTTTTCCCCTTTCTGGCAATAAAACAGTTGTGTTAAGATGTTAAAACGCGAAACTGAAATCTTTGCAAGGAATCATGTCTGCATTAACCACAGATACTCTTTGGTTCTTTCGGTAGAAAGAAAATAAATTAAATTAATTAAATAATTTTCTTTCTACGTGACTTTACCGAAAGAACCAAAGAGTAATTCCTGCAGTCACGAAAGCTTAAAATCAAGATTGAAGTGTCCCGTCATTAAACCGTGTTATGTTGAGCTTCTTTCACACCGTACGTAGCCAACCGTGCTAATTGGAGGTTGCGGCAACGGAAGTGAGTTGGTGGCCTGAGACTGGTCACAATGTTGTGGATTTGCTCTCCAACACACCAGTATGCTGTACTAGTGACGAATTGGCACGTTCTGTTTGCGTGACAACCCTTACTAATTGGCTGTGTCGGGTGGTGGCGGGTTTAACGACACATTTGTATTTACGCGATCTCACCACATATACTTGTGGTGAAAATGCAAACAAAAACATGCTTTGACAGTATGTGCATTGTCTTTGGAACTGATTGGTCCACATCAGAGGCAGCTTTCTTTAGAGCCTCGTCTCACACAGTGTTAGACCAGAGGACACCAACAGGCGAACGGCACAGGACAATTCCACCATCAGGGCATCGAGAGCTCGGGGTGATCCGCTACAACATGGGACCTTTCTTGCCAGTTTAAAAGTATAAGAATTGGTTTTACCTTTTCTGGCATTAAAACAGTTGTGTTAAGATGTTAGAACACCAAACTGAGAGTTGTGTTCACCACAAGCACGTGTGGTTAATGCAGACACCATTAGCAATGTGGGAGGTCTAATCACCGGCTTGGAGGGCAGCCAGTGGAGAGCGGAGCACTGCCCAATGTCGCTTTGAGCCTGGGGAGACACTTGACTGCCGCGTGAGTTCTCTCCATTTACCGCCGATGACACAACGCTAAACATTCCCCGTGAAACTTATTGGCCGTATAACTCGACATCCCCTTTGCGGGATCCTCGTGAAGGGGACTCCTGTGCGAAACTGAGTGTGGGGGGGCGCGAGGGGGGGGTGATAAGCACGAAGCTCCCCCGCTGTGTCCAGTCGTGCTCGTGTGACATTTTCACTCGCGCCAACACATTGATTTCCCATTTTTCCTTCGCTAAGCTCTGCTCAAAGGTCAGGACGCAATTGCTGCACTCACTTGCTCGCCTGCCCGCGCGCGCGTGTGTGTGTGTCGGGGGAGCGGTGGCTTCGCAGTTAGCATACCGCGCTAAAAAAACGGTCAACATCGGTGATGAATGAACCGGTCCTGGGCCTTCCCTAGGTTGACTCAGCCTCAAAAGAGTACCTGGTGCAGTGTGTAAACATCGCCGCTCGGGAGATAAAGGCGGCCGGGCGTGGTGCTGGCAACCCACCCCCTCGTGTGCCGTGTCGGCCTTCATAGGTGCTCGCGAACAGCGCTTGCCCCAACAGTCTCTTAAGGCAATACGGGGGATCTTTGTCTTCATGAATATAAGTCATTCTCCATAACAAAGTTTTTTTTGGGTTGGATCGCGTAAATATATAAAAGTGTCGTTAAACCCGCCACCACCCGACACAACCAATTAGTAAGGTTTGTCACGTAAATATAATTCTAGTGACTGTGACAGCGGTAGGCGGTGATGTTGATGGCGGTGGTGGCAATTGTCACGCAAGCTCACGTTTGCCCGCCAGAATTTTTCTCTCGGGCCTGAGTGTCCGCATGCGTTCGTTCGCGTGCGCGTGTCTGTACGCGTGTGCACGTACGCGTGTGTGTGTACGTGTGGGCACGTATGCATGTGTGTGCGTGCGTGTGTGTACGTGTGTGTGCGCGAGCACGCGTTTCACCAGAGGAGATCGGTGATGCGGTGGCTCGCACGCGGAGCTGCGATATCCCTGCGGCGTTCGCTCAGTTCCCGGCCTTGCGCGTCGGTCGCACGCACGTCACGTTGCGTCTGATCCCGTCAAAGACCTTCGCGAGGGGTCGATTCGAGCGTGAATGTGTGAACATCGGCACCGGGCGGACGACGACGGGCGGCCGGGCACGGTGCTGTCCCTTTTGCCGCCCCTTCACGTGCCGCGCCAACCTTCCCTCCCGCTCTGCCTCTCCTCCTCTCTGTGCCCAATCTCGTTGTTTGATCCTTCTGCCTCCTTGCACCCCTACCACTGGATTCAACTCTCCCGGCACATGTTGCGGGTCCCCGTTCCTTAACCTCCCTTCGTTCCCCTCTGGAAGCCTCGCCTCTTCCCCATCTGCCCATTCCCTTCCCCTTCCCTCCCCTCGCCCCTCCACTCCTTCCCGTCCCTCCCCTGCTGCCCTTCCGTGACCTCTGCGCGCCCTTCTGTTGCCGCTCCACCCGTTCCCCGGGCCCTCGCTCGCCGCAGGCGCAGAGGAGCGAGCGGGAGTCCATCCGGCAGAAGCTGGCGCTCGGAGGGTTTCTGGACGATGGGCCGGGCATCTACACCACGTGCAGCCGCAGCGGAAAGCCAAGCCTCTCCTCCCGGTGGGTCCCGGTTAGGGTCACGGTGGGTCACGGTGGGTCCCGGTTAGGGTCTGGGTGGGTCCCGGTTTGTCCCAGTTAGGGTCCTGTTAGAGTCCCGGTTAAGGTCCCGGTTAGGGTGTGGGTGCCTCTTCGGGTGAGCCGAAGTTTCGCTGGTTGCCTACCCGGTCGATCAAAAAAACGGGCCGGGTAATTAAAGAACGGTTGAATAAAGGGCTGGCTGAACCGGGGACTGCCGAGCAGATGTCTCAGCGGCAGAGCGAGTGGCTCACAATGGAAAGTTTGTGAGTTCAAGCCCTGGTTGCCGGTTGACTCGGCCAATCATCACTGCAGGGTCGATAAAATGAGGACCGCTGTGGGGAAGTCAACAGCGTTTAGCCTATGGATAGACTCGCCCCCTGCCGTGAGAATACGGAATCCGTTCACTGGCTCGTAGATGTCAACGGGAGATTCTAATTTGAGCAGGAAATGACTGGCGTTGAGAATCACCCCCTTGGCAACAACGGTGGGGGAGGACTCGCAGTCTCCACTGGTCTGCCACCTCCGCAGGTGAGCAGAGTGGTTAAATAAAGGAGCCGCTCAACAAAGGACTGACTGGGCGTCTTCCCCGTCCCTCCGCAGGCTGCAGAGCGGCATGAACCTGCAGATCTGCTTCGTCAACGACAGCGGGAGCGACGCCGAGGAGAGCAGCAAGACCGAGACCAGCCCTGACACCCCCGCGTCTCCCATGGTACGCCCCGCGCACCACTCGCCCGCTGGCCCTCTTCCCCTGCCAGACGGACTGAACCATTCCACCGAGAGGAGTATTTTCAGTTTCAATTGCATTTATTTGGTATAGCCCTGTGAGCCATTCGGCTCTTGAATCGGGTGCAACCGCAACAAACGACAAACAAAAGGAGTGGGTTGCTGCAAGGCCAGGGTGGTGTCACTCATTGCGCTTTAATGAAGCGATCGAGATTGCTCACCCGGCTTCCCCCGCCCACCCCCCGCACAACCCTAAACTATAAACCAAACTATTATTTTTCATTTTTAACCAGGTAAGGCCCACAGAGCCACATAGCTACTTTTCAGAAGCCACCTGACCACAAAAGATAGCTCAACGGAGTGGCCCATCACGTGCAAATGTATCGCAGTAGCCAAATACTCTGAACGCGTGACGTTGTTTCTAAATGTGGAGGGAAAAACCGGACGGCCGCCGGGAGAAGAGCCCACGCGACCACGGGGAGAGAGAGAAACACGCAAACTCCAAACATACAGCAGCAGGCGTCGGGGTCGGGATCGGACCGACGAACTCCCGCAAACCAGGCGAGGTAGTTGACATCCCGCCACCGTGGCTCCCACCCCTCTCCCGGTACGCCGTCGGGCGCAGAGCAAGCAGAGCTCGTCATACTCGGAGCGCGACAGCCCCGAGGAGGAGGGGGACGAGGACGCGATGGAGTCGCCCCTCGACGAGATGGACTTTGCGTCGCGGCGCCGTCGGCTGCAGGACGAGGCGCGCATGGCGCTTGCCATGGCACAGCCGATGGCGCGCATGCAGGTGCAGGTGGAGAAGCGCAGCAAGCCGCCCCTCTCGGACCTGGTGAGGGCAACCGCTGGGGGACGGGGGGGGAGGGGGGGGGGTGTGGGCACGCCAGGCGGGGTGGGGTGGGTGGCGCTGCATGCAGCCAAAACAACTGGTGAATGGAATTTGCCCAACGTCGAAAGTTTCCCGGTCATCCTCCGTTCGGTGGGAGGGTCGCTCCTTCATCCTCCGCTGCCCCCGACGAAAATACGGGAATCACTTCCTCCCCCCCCCCCGCCCCCCCCCCCCCCTACAGCCGTCAATGCTGTTGTTGTAACGTTCTGACCACGCACCCCGACTGGACATCTGTGAAAATTATCTTCTCATCGAATTCCTCCAGTACAAATAAATATTCAGATTCTATGGGTGTCTCTGTGGGTCTCTGTGGACCTATGGGTCTCTGTGGGTGTATATGGGTCTCTGGGTGTCGGTGGGTCTCTGCATATCTATGTATATTGCACTTCTTTCACACCGTACGTAGCCGACCGTGCCGGTGACTCCCTGCCCCTAAAACTACTACCCGTGAGATGACGTACGTTACGGGCGCAACGTAAACGTGGGCGTTGTTGTAACGGAGGCGGTGGAAATCTCCGCTGTGCCCACCCCACAGCTCCCGCACCTGCCCCACCTGGGCGAGTCTCTGCTCAAGCGGAGCCTCCGTCCGGGCGACCTGCACGGCATGACGGAGGGGCAGCTGCAGGTCATCGTCAACGACCTCCACTCGCAGATCGAGAGTAAGAGCGCCCCCCCCCATCTCACGCCCGGCACGCGGCGACGGTAGCTCACTGATACGGCCGTTCGCCGAGGGTAGGAAGCCTCTCAATCGGTACCCGGACGGCCCACTCTGTTCAGTGAGAAATCACAACGAATTCCACCAACGCGGCGATTGAACGTCTATTATCATCAATCTGCCTGGGCGGGATGGGAGCTTGTTATGCAGAGTGCTGGCATGCGACGTCATCGCCTTGGCCGGCAAGGCTTACTTGTTATCACTGTGGCTTCCCCCCTCCCCCTGACCCCCCCGACTGTTTTGGCTTTAATCCCTGACTCGATATTCCCAGCTTTGGATCGGGTGGGTCCCTAACTGCAACGCAGCTGCATACTAAATAAAGTATTGTTCGTACTGAGTTATTTTTAGCCCAACCTAAAGACGGACGGACGGACGGACATACCGAGCAAATGCCTAGCGTGTGGGTTTATCGCGATTCGTAATCGATTTTTTTTGCGTCTGGCCATGCAATTATTGGCAAATATGTCGTTATCGGCGACGCACCCTCCGTTGCTCGAGTGTTGGGAGGGTTCCACTAACGTCGCTTTAGGGTTAGGCCCACCACCTAAACGACGCGGTGGCCTAATTGTTGTCGTGAAAGTGTTTATATGCGGTATATATACACATACACAGTAAGTCCCCGTTTAACGCGGTGGTGGACGCGTTCCTGAAAAGTGCCGCGTCAAGCGAAATTCGCGTGGAGCGAAAAGTATTTACCCATAAATAATGCCACGGTAAAGTTTGGCGAGTTACGACGCACGCACAAGCGAAGCAGCTCAAGAAAATAGTTAATCGTCGACCGCTTAGAAACCGTGTTACAACGGGCGCGGACTACGTTACAACGGGCGCGTACTACGTTATAACGGTGCGCTTTCCGCGTTGTGCGAAAAGTGTTCCCGATCGGAAACGCCGCGTTGGAGCGGAAGCACGTCGCAGCGTGAACCCCGCCACGCGTTCAGCGGGGGGCTTGCCGCATGTCAAAATAAAAACACCGCTGAGGGCCCCCCCCCGTTGCTGGTGTTGTTCGCGACCAGGCCTCAACGAAGAGCTGGTGCAGCTGCTGCTGGTGCGGGACGAGCTGCACATGGAGCAGGATGCCATGCTGGTGGATATTGAGGATATGACGCGGTGAGATGCCCCCCCCCGCTCCCTGCCCCCCCGCTCCCTGCCCCCGCCCCCCCCCGCCCCCCACCGTCTCCGTGGCTCGGCGGTGTAGAGCGAGCGGTGCGCAGCTGGGATGTTCAGAGTTCAGGTCCTGGGTTGGGGGTTGAATTGGCCCATCATCCCTCCGGCATTGATACACCTTTTTAAATCTATATATATAAAATCGTTCATGTCTGTCTGTCTGTGTGTGTGTGTGTGTGGACTTTGGCCCATACGCACTTTCATTGGACGGCGGTTGCCCCTGGCAACGGCTAGCCACGCCTTCGCCGCTTTCATTGGACCTGGCAACGGCTAGCCACGCCTTCGCCAAGGGCTGCAGTTTCATTGGACGGCGGTTGCCCCTGCCAACGGCTAGCCACGCCTTCGCCACTTTCATAAGCTCCGTATTTAATTAAATAATAGCCATTACACAGTATTGTTGGAGCGCTAGGGGGGGGGGGGAAGGAACGCCACCCGTACCCTGCCTCTTCCAAGCCGACAATTTTAGGCGAGGCCGCAGGCTTTGCACGCTACTAGACCTCGACACCCACCACGCCACTCTGAGGTAAATTCATCAAAGTTTTTCCTACTCTTCACTACACCCCCACCACAATGTGTGCTATTAATATTACTTTTAAACCCAACGCGCCAACAATCGATTACTTTAATGTTCACTGTACAAATACTCATTAAGCTGGGTGAGCGTACTGCCAGTCTATCATGTACACTGTAGCCTGCTTATTAAGCTCGGTGAGCGTACTGCCACTCTATCATGTACACTCTAGCCTGCTTATGAAGCTGAGTGCGTGTACTGGCAGTCTATAATGTGGACTCTTGCCTGGTTATTATAATCGATTCTTTATATGTTCTTTGTACAAACAGTCATTAAGCTGCTTGAGCGACCCCAGTTCGATTCCAACTCACGCCCACCACCGCTGACGATTATTTGAAACGGACCTGGCCCTCCCCTAGGTCCACTCAGCCTCAAAAGCGTAACTGCTGTCGTGTGTGAACATCGTCACTGGGGAGACAAAGGCGGCGGGGCATCGTGGATCCAAGTCCCGGGCGAAGCCGGGTCATGTGTATGTGTGTTTGTGTTTATGTGTATGTCTGTGTGTCTCTATGTATGTGTGTATGTACGTGTGTGCATGTGTTTGTGTGTATGTATGTGTGTGTCTATGTATGTGTGTGTCTATGTATGTGTGTGTATGTGTGTGTATGTATGTGTTTGTATGTGTTTGTGTGTTTACGCTCGCATTACACAAATGTGTTGCTGGTCTAAGGCGTTCCTCGCACAGCATTGCCGCTTTATTATTTCAGTCGTTTACTGCCTTACGCACCCTGAAAGTCGTGTGTGTCTGCAGCAAGCGCGTGTCTGTGTACCTATGGACGCGCGCGCGTGTGTTGTGTAGGGGGAACGGTAGTGTAGTGCTTAGCGTGCTGCCTGTGTCTGTGTGTGTGTCTGTGTGTGTGTCTGTGTGTGTGTCTGTGTGTGTGCGTGTGTGGTGTGTGGGGAGCGGTAGTGTAGTGGTTAGCGTGCTGTCTGTGTGTGTGTTTCTGTCTGTGTGTGTCTGCGTGTGTCTGTGTGTGTGTCTGTGTGTGTGTCTATGCGTGTGTGGTGTGTGAGGAGCGGTGGGTGTAGTGCTTAACGCTACGCTGCGCTACCAACCCGGCAAACCCAGTTCGATTCCCGCTCACGGCCACCACCGGTGACGATTATTTGAACCTCCCCTAGGTCGACTCTGCCTCAAACGAGTAACTTAACTACTGTAGCGTATTAACATCGCCACTCGGGAGACAAAGGCGGCCGGCCGTGGTAGATACAAGTCCCGGGCGAAGCCGGGTAGTACAGCTAGTCCTTTATATTAAGTTCACTTGCTTGCTTGCTTGCACGCTTACGACCGTGCAAATCTTTCGGTCGTTTTTTAACCCACTTCCCGTGATCCAATCGAGCTGACATTTTGCACACAGACTCGTTGTGCGTGACAATTTATTTTCGTGAAAAAATTTTCCAAAATTTTCCACTTTTTAGGAAAAAAATTTTCATATTTAATTTAAAATACCAATGTGATAAAAATGAAACTCTTACTCAAGAAAAACAGAAATGAATAATAAAATAAAACCGATGCCACGCATATAAAGGATTTATAGTGAAAAACTTTGTTTTTACGGGTTAATTTTTTAATGTGTGTATGTTCAGCGGCTTTGACGCCGTACGTAGCCAACCGGGCTCATCGGGGGTGCGGGGGAAGGACAACAAACCAAACACAAAAGCAGTTCTCAAGAAATGAGTTCAACACGTAGGCTTTCGCGACCAATTAAAAAGTAATTTTTTTAGGGTTAGATCGCGTAAGTATCAATGTGTCGTAACCCTCCAACACCTGTCACAGCCAGTTAAGGTTCGTCACGTAAACAGTGCACCAATTAGTTACTACTTAAGCCCACCGGTGTGTTGGAGGGTATTCAAATTGTTAATGTTGTAGATCTACTCTCCAACACACCGGTGGGCTGAAGTAGTAACTAAAATTGGCGCGTTGTTTACGTGACAAACCTTTCCGGCTGTGTCGGATGGTGGAGGGTTACGACACATTTATACTTACATGATCTAACTCTAAAGAAATTAGTTTTCGATCTGGATGATGATGATGATGATGATGATTTACAAGTGCAAAGCTCCAGTGGCTTCCTAATATCAGAAGGAAGAGCGTTCCAGACGGCCGCAGAAGCGCAATCTGAAAGTGCACGATGCGGTGACCGTCTTTGTTCGATGGCAAGTGAGAAGCCGCTGCTGCTGCTGTTGCTGCTGCTGCTGTTGCTGCTGCTGCTGCTGCGAGGATGACCGGAGTTTGCGTGATGGTTTATGCTCCTTGACGAGATCAGCAAGGCATTGTGGGTCATTTGTGGCAAGCAGTGAAACATGAGCACCACTGTGTAGGAGAGCCAAGCCACAACATTTACAATCTGAGTACGACGTTTAGCCAGTAATTACGACTAGCTCTTCATCAGGCGACAGCCAGATTTGTGAAGAAATCCTCCTGTTTTGTTCCTTAAATAGAGGGCTAGATGTGATGACATCACTTGCGTGCTGTACTAGTGACGAATTGCCACGTTCTGTTTACGTGACAAACCTTACTAGTTGGCTGTGTAGGATGGTGGCGGGTTTAACGACACATTTGTATATTTACGCGATCTAACCCCCAAAAAAAACCTGCATAACGGAAGATATTGGTCGCAAAAGCCTCCTACATGTTTAAAAAGGGCATCGTAGCGATGTTGACCTACCGGTGGGTTCGAGGCGGTCGAGACGTATGACGGGGTGGGCAGCCAAAGCAGACCCGTGAGCACGCCCACCACGGGAGACGGCTCGGTGACGCCGCCCATCCGTCAGCGCGATAAATAGCTCGCGGCCGTTTTTCTTGGCGCCGTCTGACGAGATCCCGTCTTCGTTAAGCCCCTCCCGTCTTTATCACCCTGTTGCGCGCGCGTGTGCCCTGGGTCTCTCTCTCTTTCTCTCTCTCCCGCGTTTCTCTTTCTCAGGCACGCGGAGGAGCAGCACAAGTTTATGGGCGCCAAGCTGGTGTCCAAGTGATGTGGCAAGGTCGGCGACTCCTGCGGGAGTGGCGCGGAGCGAGCGGGAATCTGAATCCCCGTCGAAACGTACAAACAAACGTGCAAAAAGCGAAACTCGCGAGGGTTCGCCGCCCTATTATCGGTGCCAAAGGCAAACAGGCCGAGTTGCAATCCCCTAGGGTAACGACACCGGGAGCCTGCGCCGCTAGCCCAGGCCGACCGCGTCTTCCGCGGTTGTTCCGCGGGCGGCTCTTCCCCCCCCCCCCCTCCCCCCGTTGTTCGACCGAAGAAGAGGCTCCCAAGCAAGCACGTGGAGCCGAAACGTCGGACATCAACGGCGCGACCCGTCGGCGTGGCGGGGAGGGTTTCGACAGAACTCTACAAAGACTTAAGTTAGCCATAGGCATTATAACGTGTCCGTTCACAGGTTTCCTGTTAAGATGGGGCTCATGCTATAAGTGGCTAATGGGATCCCAGGCCATCGCCAAACACTCAAACCCACGTGTCGATCGTCGCTATTTGCTTGGCTGCAGTGTGATGGGGCTTTGTTGTCCGTATGCTCGACGTTGCTTCAGGCAAAGTTGTCGCACGGTCCGTCCGTCCGTCCGGTTGCTCTCAACACTCACGGACGCGCTGTTGCGATGGGCAGCATCTCATTTTAAAGATCCATTTCGTGTATTTATTTTGTGATTATTTTACAAGAAAACAATTTTTCTCACGCAATTTTTGCCCCAGCAGCGGCACAGCGGCCCACCCAAGTGGATATCGCGGGGCTGCGTCCGAGAGATTCCCCGCCCCTTCGAGTGACCCCTGATCCATGCAGAGTGGAGGGCGGCGTTTCCCATTCCCTGCTTTGCGTGCGAGAGTGAAGTTCGTCGCGTCACCGTCACACCGATGTTTTTAATTTCCCGAGTGCTGAAATTTCACCAAATTAAGTGCGGAACCAAAGTTTTTACGCGACGATGGCTTTTTTATTTGTGGTTTTATTTGTGCAGTCATTGGTGACCAGGCTGAGACCGTCAAAACGGAAAGATGTTTCAAAATGTACCCTCCGCTGTGCATCAAGCTTTCATCACCCGAATGAGTAATTTAAACATGAGCAAAAATATTTCAGCTGGTTGCAGGAAACACTATGTAATACGATTTTTGTCCCTGGGTAGTAAGTGTTATTTTCTAATTGCTTATGCTTCAAAAGTATATAAAATGGCTATTATTTCACACAAACTTTGCTTTTGTCACCAGGACTTTATGTGAAGAAATGACACAAATGCACACCGCGTTTTCTCATTGAAAATAGGTACATTTCAAATGATCAGTCCTGGTCATAAAAGCAAAGTTTGTGGGGCATATCAATTTTCTGTACTTTTGAGGCATAAGCAATTAGAAACTAAACACTTACTACCCAGGAACAAAAAAAAACATTTTTGTTACACAGTGTTATTCACCAATATTGTCATAAAGAAACACAACGAATTGGCAAAGTACAAGTATGTTTTTCTTTTACCAGATTTTAATTAAACGACGTGAAATGTGTATAGATCTCATTGTATAATGTTGTCTCCCAACTACCGCGTAAGGCACAATCTTTCGTCATCTTAATCCTGTTTTAGATTTGAAGTTTTCGTGACTGCAATATATATAATCCTGTTTTCCCAATTGCATCCCCCTCGTGCTCTCGGGTGTCGCATCACGATTGGACAAAAGCATCCGTATTGGATCTTTTGCAGAGCAGTGCAACCCTGGATGTATTTAAAGAGTGGCCCACAGAAGTTGACACCTCTGCACCCACAGTATTCTGGAGCACCACTTTGCCCCCGTCTGCCCTGCTGCAGAGAGTAATGCCCGTCACATTTTACGGTGGAACACTTTACGGAAACCAAATTTAACGCCATCGATGTGTGCAGTTATTTGGCTGGACCGGGCCTGGAACCAACAATGCACTGCACTTGACGACGAACCCGGATTTCGTCGCAGGCAGCGGCTGAAAGTCTGGAATTGAACCCAGGATGTTAGCGGTGCCGGCTAGGCATCTCCGATCTCCTCCCAAAAGTCACCATCGGACTTCGCTCTGCCAGGAAGAAGGGACACGCGGTCAAAATGTAACCTTATTCATGTACTCTTCTGTTCGAGGACTGTGTGCTATGACAATGCTGGTAAAATATTTGTACTCCGTGCTTACGCATCACCGCGGAACCGTTTTGTTGTGTTGAGTTTGTTGTCATTTCTCCGCGCCTCTGGTTAGCACGGTTGGCTACGCACGGTGTGAAAGAAGTTCAACGTGTATACATGCACTGCCAACTCCAGTCTCTTAAGTCATTCTTGAGTGGTTATTGTTGACGGCTGGGCTCTTGTACACCACACAGATTTTGCCATTTCCATTGCATCTAACTGTCGTGGAATGGCCCCATAAGATGTCACAGAACCGTGTCCATTGCGTTCCATTCAAAGCGAAAGATTCCGTTAGTCGAGCTGGAAATACGCCGCGAGCGGATTGAGAAACCCGATTAGAGCGTGGTGACGGCTGTTTGTGCGTGTGCCGTAATTGACGACGCGGGCAAAGACCAACAACTCCGGACATTTGACAGTGCCGTTCCCGCCACGGGCGGCTAAAACGAGGATCTTTGCATCTATCGGAGGCTCGCGTCTCTGACGAGAGCCATTGACAGACCTCCGAACCGCTCGGGGCGTCTCTTAGTCAAGTTAATTTTTGCTTAACGCGTCAAAAGTTGTCGCTTGTCCGGCACAAACCTGCCACCTAAAACAAAAGGCACCATCGCATCATTCAACAGAATCGGTCTTTATTTAAAACTTGCAGGAATCCGATGAGCTATGAAGCTATTTTATTTCCTCACAGATGCGCGGTAAACACGTGAAACAATTATATACGGTCAAAAAAAAAATAAATGCAAAGTTGCGGCTTCATCTTCTTGGTTCTTTCGGTAAAGTCACGTAGAAGGGAAATAATAAAAGAATAAAAAACATTTTAATTTTTATTTTGGTTCTTTCGGTAAAGCCACGTAGAAGGGAAGTAATAAAATAATAAAAATAAAAAGCATTTTTTATTAATATTTTATTATTTTATTATTTCCCTTCTACGGTTCTTTCGGTAAAGTCACGTAGAAGGAAATAATAAAATAATGCTAATAATAAAAATAAAACATTTGCTAATTTTATTATTTCCCTTCTACGTGACTTTACCGAAAGAACCAAGAAGATGAATCCCTGCAGTCACGAAAGCTTTAAATCAAAAAGAAAAAAGTTGCGGTTGTGAGTTAGTTGTTGTGGCTGGTGGCCTCAATTGGTCAAAGATTTCGAAAAGCCAAAAGTTTCACGAGTCGCCCTTGCCCAGTGCGCGCTGGCTGTGGTGCAACCTCTCTCATCCAGCAACTCGGAGGCGGTCGCTAGCTCACGTGGTGGGGGGGGAATTGAACTTTAGTTTTGCACGAGACACCCACCCACAGCGGGGCAGCGTAGCAAGTAGGTTCGCGGAGGCTTTCCTGGGCGGGTGGATTTTTTTGAGTGTTCTCCTGCCGTTCTACCCGCTGTGCGTGTGGGTTTTCCTCCGGGCAATGTTTTTCAACCTCCCAACGTGAGACCGCTCGAGGAAAGATGCCTGCCCGCACGGATCTCTCTCTGAGCGGGCGAGACTCGCGCCGCAAGGTGTGGCTGCTTGCCCGGCTGGGTAAATGTCGACACATTGTACAAATCCATTTCTGGAAGTGATGCCATATGGGAACAAACATTGAAATCGACATTCCTCATTTATTTGGCCAGCAAAATGAGCTATTATAATTTATATTTTGCTTGCCTTCCACAATAAGCGTGATGTAATTAAACAAAAGTATTGTAAATAGACGTCCTCAGTGGCCATCCTTTTACGCTTGCACCTCGACGCGTTTGAATTCAAATTAAACGTATTTTTTTTCCCGTGCGACTTCGCAACATGAACAAATAATGACCGCGCATTAAATGTTACGCTTGCCGCTTCTCCGCGGAAGATTACACCAAAAAAGGCTGGGATCGCTCGCGACGTTCATCCGGCGTTTTATTTTTTTTGCGCTCGCCCGGCCGGCTGCTCTTGCGACGCGGTTTGCCATCCGCGGCGACGGGCGCGCAACGCGGCGTCCCTTATTTTTTTAGTTGTTCACGCGTCGGCTGTGCAAATCCCACCGAGAAGGATGAACGACCCTTTTCACCTCGCTCGCTCGCTCGCCTGCCCCCCCTACCCCCGCTCCGTGACCCCACACCCCGCCTGATCACCAACCTTGCCCCGTATTACCCCCAGCACGGTTCTTTGTTGTAAATAAAGGGGGAGAGAGATGAAAAAAAAATCCATTTGCAAAGTGAAAATTCTGGGCCGTCGTTTGTGGTCAAGCGGCGGTTGTTCGGCTGAGCACGGCAACGGGCGCGACGCGTCCGCAGTGGTTGGCGGGGGAGGGCGGCTTGCCGAGACGGTCGCTGGGAGCGGCACCCAGCAGAGGTTTGGCGACCGACGGCGAAGAGGACCGAAAGCCACAGAGGTGGTTGAGGCCGGTGTAGGCGAGACTGTAAGAGAACGTCCCTTGAAGGATGGGGGGGGGGGGAAGACCTAACCGCCAGAAGGGAGCAATGGCGAGATGTGCTGGCATCAGTGGCAGTGACGACCTCCTGACATCTTGACTTGCAAGTTGAAGGATGGGAGTTGAAATCCCGGCTGGGTGGCAACTCGTAACACCACTCCCCCACTCCGGTATTTTGGTTTGCCCACACCCTAGGACGCTCTCGCGTCGCGTGCTGCCGGTGATCGTGACTCAACCACCGTGACAGCCTGTAGGAGAGAACGTGCCAGAGGACGGTTACTGTGGAGATGGAGCCACGGGCCCAGGCCCTGGGTGGATTTGCGTTGCAAGACAATTGGCGTTTTATCGATACCGTATTCACCAGAGAAAAACTAATGTTGGGCCATATTGATGAAGCTGAGGACTTCAGGACCATACCCCCCCACGCATGGCTGAAGATGACAAAGGATGAACGGCGTTCAGAAGCCGCGCCTGGGCCACTTGTGGAAAGGGCCCAGCCGAGGTCCTGCCCGAACAAAGTCTCCGTGCACCCTGCGGGATGCCGTGTGCATGGGTAGTCATGGAAATCCACGCGGTTCATTGCTCAACGGATCACAGCATAACTGTGTATACACACACATCGACATGTACTGCTCTCAAAGATGCCCCCATATAGCCATACAGACATCTGTTTGCGAGCACCTATTAAGGTCGACACGGCCGCCTTTGTCTTCCCAGTGTTGAATTTTTTTTCACACCGCACAAGGTACTCATTGAAGGCTGCGTCGACTTAGGGGAGGCCCAGGACCGGTTCTAATTGTCAGCTTGTTGGTCTTGAGCGGGAATCGAACTTGGGTCGCCGGGTTCATCGCGCAGTTGGACAAACATTTTGTCACCGCTTCATCGTGTGCACACAAGACAAATATCCCCCGTGTAGCCTGTAACAGACTGTAGGGGCAAGTGCTGTTAGTGAGCAGCACCTATGAAGGCCGGCACGGCACACGAAGGAGGTGGGCGATGTTTACACACCGCACCAGGTACTCATTTTGAGGCCGAGTCGACCTAGGGGAGGCACACGCGCGTGTCACATATCTCATACATCGTTTATTCAATTTATTTTGACAGTGTAGACAAACGACTTACCTGGCACTAAAAAGTATTACACACGAAAATGCCTCCGAGCGGGGGGGGGAGGAATGCGTAAAAATCACGAGATATCAAAACACCGTCTCGCCCCACTCCCTTGACCGCATTCGAAAGTAAAAAAAAAACCAAAGCGGAGGAAGGAGCGGAGCGGGAGGGCGTTGGGACCGTGGGTCGAGTGAGGTTTGTGACCCGACCAAATGATCTCGCCGGACGCACTCATCCCACAAACTGCGGAAATAAATTAACGAAAGCTGCGCTTAAATAATATACTCGACGGGGGTAGCTTCGTGCAGGGCGACCCATGCAGCGCTCCCGTCGCTGTTGCATATTTCGGTTTATAATAAAAATAAAAACCTCCCAACTCTCATTCGCTTTTCGCTCCAGTCATCCTTGCGTGCTCGGAGGGAGCGGGGGGGAGGCGATCACGATAACTGTCAAAAGTCGCCCGCGCTTCAACGCACGATCGCCAATGCTGCTACGCATCGGTAACCTGTCATTTTGTTTGCTCGTTTTTTGATTTCGGAAGTACACGCCGACTTTTGCGGGGTTGAAGAGCGGGGGCGGCGGGGCGGGGGGTGATATATGTACAAAACTATGCGAGATTTTATTTTTGTTAAATTAAGGAGGAAACTTTCTGGGAAAACAACTGTGATAACCGACAGGGCCTCAGCGTCCATTGCAGCGTTGGCTCTTCTTGTGAAACGCAGCACTGCAGCAGCGCCCCCATTCCGTCCATCGAAGCGGTACCCAATTTAACGGCCCCCCCGAGAGATGATTGTCACACGTGTTTCAATCAAGGGCCTCTCCAGGTGAGCGATTTTAAAACAAACCATGGGTTATCAAGTGTTTCCGCGGCTACCCTAAAACGTTTAATTTATTTAAACAAGCCTCTCACTTCTTACACTTTTAACTTACGTTTTTTTTTTACATTTTCTTCACCCCATTTTTATATAATTTACACACACAATGCTACGTTGTAATTGTTTTTCTTGACTAGTTAGTGTCGAAACTACATGATATATTTCACCACGCATAACAGACGGCCGCTCTCTCGAGGAGGGGTTTACCGACGCTTGCTCCCCCCCCCCTCCGCCCTTCGACGCTCTTACAATCAGAATCTTATTTCACGGAAGTATTAGTTTGTTTGCTCGGCAAACGCGCCGTGCGACTGTTTAAGCTCAAGCTCACGACGCAGCCGACTTACGGCCGCAACTCGTGCCACATCCTCCACGAAACACTCCACCGGAACTTAATTTTAGCACGTGTCGCTCCGTGAGTAATTCACGCTCACAGAGGGCCGTGGGGTGGATATTCCCCCCCTCTCTCGCCTCGCTCTTCACCGCGCTCGATATTGGCGCGTAAACGTTTAAATCGCCGCCGTAAACTTATTATTTTAAATATATTTCGGGTTAATGGATCGATTTGACGCCACGCACACTTCAAATCACTTCGCAAGGTCTCGAAGTCGCGCGCGTCACGCCGTTTATATATATATATATTTTTTGCACGCCTCTTGGGTTTTTCAGATTGGCATTTGCTGGTTTTCTCGGATCCTGCACCAACACCAACCTCCAGACACGCGTCCAGACACGCGACACGTGAAACACCCTCGCGCAGATTCACCCACGTCCCCGTGAACCATCCGGGGGGCGGGGGGGGCGGAGTGGCTTCGAGCCCTGGAATTCCAATCAGACGGTCGCGCATTTCAAATCCCGATCTGGTTGGTGGCGGGGGTAAGGAGGGGGAGAGGGGGGGTTCACAACTCATGGGGGGGGGCGCAGCTAGACCGAGCACCACCACCACCACCACCAAACACCGCCACCATCACCACTTTTTGCAGGAATTCAACAGTGGCCGGACTTGTGGAGAGGCCGGCTCCCGTCATAGGAATGTGGAGTTTCCAGCACTGCCGGCGGAGACGACGACGGCCGCCGCCGCCGGCGCAGCCGCCACTGCCACTGCCGCCCCGTCGCTCGCGCGAGCGGCGAGGCGGTCCGGCTCGACCTTAACTCCCCTGGAAGAGCGGACACATTCCTCCCGTCAGCCCTTCTTCTTACATTTACAAGCACGTGGGAGACGCTCACCACGACTGGGCGCCGACGGGCTCGGGACCAATGCAACAACGCGGACGACGAGCGCCTCTCTCTCGCTCTTGCGCTCTCTCACTCACTCTCGCTCTCTCACTCGCTCTCTCACTCGCTCTCTCACTCGCTCTCTCTCTCGCTCTCTCACTCGCTCTCACTCGCTCTCTCACTCGCTCTCTCTCTCGCTCTCTCACTCGCTCTCTCTCTCGCTCTCTCTCGCTCTCTCTCTCGCTCTCTCACTCGCTCTCTCACTCGCTCTCTCGCTCACTCTCGCTCTCTCTCGCTCTCTCTCGCTCACTCTCGCTCACTCTCGCTCTCTCTCGCGCTCTCTCTCGCTCTCTCTCGCGCTCTCTCTCGCTCTCTCTCTCTCTCGCTCTCTCTCTCGCTCGCTCTCTCTCTCGCTCTCACGCGCGCGGCACCCTGCAGGCGCCCCGACAAGACTCGACGACTCTGTTGCGTGGACCGCCCAGCGTCACAACGACGTCGGTGGTCGTACCGCCGTTGTCGCCGAGCGGACGGACCCCCCCCCCGATCGAGCCGGCGAGCGCAAATATCTTACGGGGGGGGGAAGGGGGGGGAGGAAGCTCGAATCCACACCGCTGGAAGCGGCGGACGGCGGGCGTCAGCTTAACTCGGGAGCCGCGAGGCGGGCCAGCGGATGGAAGTACAGCAAGTAGGGGCTGGCGAAGGCTGTCTCTGAAACAGCAGGTTTTTGAGTGTTTTGGTCTTGCACGAGTAGACTTTTTGTGTCCACCAGGGGGCAAGCCCGGTTTCCTCCCGCGCGAAACTAAAAGCAATCGGGAAACGGGCCAAACATCCCGGTGCAGGACTCTCCTGCAGAAACAAACACATTTTAAGACTCGGCGAGACGTTCGCGGCTAAACGAATGACCGACGAACGTCCCGATTTCATGTTGCTTTCAACAGCAGCACGGCAGTTGAATCAGCGAGGCAACTTTCTTGAATCCCCTCTGTCCACCCAGCATTAAAATTGGGTTCACCGCGGCCAATCGATGGGCCGGACGCGTGTGTGGTGGGGTAAAGTGTGGGCACTCCAACCTGTTCCAAGATATCTGGCCCGTATGGATGGAAGAGTAGACCAGAAAAAAAAAAACCCTTCCAGAGGGGCTCTAGTGGAAGCCCTTCCGGCAGCAGTGGCGTGCAGGGCTGCGCCTTTACCTTTACAATACACTTATTTTATTTCATGCAAACCGGATTAAAGGGCTCTCGCCTGGTTCACACAAAGCACCACTGGGGCCCTGCCTGACCACTGCTACTGGCGGTGCCACCAAAGACAAAGATCCCCCGTGCAGCCTTAACAGACTGTTGGGGCAAGTGATGTTAGCGAGCACCTACGAAGGCCGGCACGGCAGACGAGTTAGGTGGGCGATTAACACCACGCCCGGCCGCCTTTGTCTCCCCAGTGGCGATGTTTACACACAGCACCAGGTACTCATTTGAGTCCCAAATCGACGTAGGGGGAGGGGGCCCGGGACCGGTTCAGATAATCCTCGCCGACGTTGGCCGCGAGAGCGGGAATTCGAGCCGGAGCGCGCCACCCCGCTCCGCGTCGCCGCGACCCGCACACTCCTTAGTGGCGGTGGTGCCGCCGCCACCGCGCGATGGTGCCGCGTTACTCCACGCACGTCGGAGAGCTGTCCGCGTGCTGCGCGGGGGGCGGACTGCAGGGCTGGCTGGACGCCTCCTCGGTGGGGCTGTCCGATGACAGGGAGCACGCGTCCGATTTCATGACCCCGTTCTCAACTTCTGGAGGAAACAGCCGGGGGGGGCGCGGGGGTGACGTGCAGCGGTTCAAGCGCGGGCTCAGCCGTGTGCGCGCGCGCGTGTCCGCGTGTCGTCGGTCTTTCGAATGAGTAGCCGGTGCGGTGCGTAAACGTCGCCACTCGGGAGACAAAGGCGGCCGGGCGTGGTGCTGGCCACCCAACCCCCCCTTGTGTGCCGTGCCGGCCTTCACAGGCACTCACTAACAGCACTTGCCCCAACAGACTGTTAAAGCTACACGGCCGATCTTTGTCTTTGTGTGTCTGTCCACCACCTGTATGGTTGTGTGCCCATCCATCTGTCTGTAAGTGTGTACGTATTGCAGTCCATCAGAGTCTGTCCACCAGTCCGCATGCCTGTCCACCCATCTGCGTTCGTGCCCATCCGTGTTCCCTTCCATCAATCTCGCCGCTCACTCTGCCGTTGATCAGGGCTGCACGTTCGTCCAACGTTCTCCGCTGTGCATCTGTCTCCGTCTGTGCCCGGGCACATCCATCTGCAGGACCACTCCATCATCCACTTATCTCTCTATCCGCTCACCACTTGCCTACTGCGCTGCTAGTCCCAATCTATCCAGCCACGTCCATGTGCATCCTGCGCCTGCCATCCGTCCGTCCAGCCGTCCACAGACAAAGAACAAAGATCCCCCCACCCCCTTGTAGCCTTAACAGACTGTAGGGGCAAGTGCTGTTAGCGAGCACCTATGAAGGTCGGCACGGCACACGAGGGGGTGGGTGGCCAACAACGCCCGACCGAATTTGTCTCCCCTGTGGCGATGTTTTTAGACACCGCACCAGGTACTCGTTTGAGGCTGAGTCGACCTAGGGGAGGCCCAGGATCGTTTCAGATAATCGTCACTGGTGTTGGCCGTGAGCGGGAATCGAACTCGTGTAGCCAGGTTCGTAGCGCAGCGTAGCGCTAACCGCTACACCACCGCTCCCTGCGCGCATTCCGTCCGTCCGCCGTCCACACACACACACGCGCACACACACACATACACACACACACATACACACACACACACACGCGCACACACACACATACACACACACACATACACACACACACACACGCGCGCGCACCGAGAGGTCGTCGCTGCGCATTGGCATCCCACCCATCGCCTGGATGCTGCCCCCCGTCCCCCCCCCCCCGTCCATCTCTGGCTTAGCCTGTCCGCTCCTGAGAGTAAGATTCCACTTCCAGACGATCTTCTGGTACCCAAGCTCTCTCTCGACCCGCACGCCCCACACTTTGTCAAACCCCTCGAAACATTTTTCGCGCGGTGCTACCAACGCGGCAAAAGTCGCTTCTTCAACAGTGCCGCGCGAAAAAAACACCGTGCGATGCCCATTGCCGGGCAAACTTTCTGGGATGTTAATCGAGCAATTTTTGTCCCCCTTGTAGCGCTGACCTCGCCGGACAGACGTCGACGCGGGGAAATCCTCTCTCTCGATCGAAAAAAGGAAGACGATCGTCCCCGTTGGGCCCGACGTCCGTCGACGCGGGAGGGCGGGATGTGGCCTCGGCAGCGTCGGTTCGGACCGCGCCACCCGCAAACCGCCAGTGACCCAACTTACCGGTGAAGATGAGCTTCTCCTTCATTGTCTTGACGTCGCGGCTGTTCTTGCGCACGGACGTGCTCAGCATGATCTGCTCGGGGTTGTACACCGTCATGGAGCCCAGCCTCCACCTGCGGGGGAGGGGGGGGGCGAGGATGTCAGAGGTCAAGCTGGGGGCACCGCACGTTTCACAACGCGCCCGGGTTGTTCCGGGGCTTCACTTAGAAGTCGAGCGATCGTGCGATAGAGGTTTTGTTGAAAATTAATGGGGGTGGACCTGGAGCCACGTTGACAACCCCCACATCTACGGGGCGACTCATTTATAGATACTCCACGGATTTCTAATGACCCTTTAATAAAAAACTCAACTGAACAATTTTTTTATTTTACCAGGCAAGGCCCACTCAACTTTCCAGCTCTTTTTCTTCAGCGACCCAGCCACAAATGATAGCTCAACGAAGTGGCTTATTGGGTGGAAATGTATAGCATCCGAGAATCTAAAAGCGTGTTTCTAAATGTGGAGGAAAAAAATCAGGGGACCCGGAGAAAATCCACGCGACCACGGGGAGAGAGACAAACAAACTCCAAATATACGGCAGGTGTCCGGGCCAGAATTGAACCCACGACCTCCTGTATATCAGGTGAAGTAGTTAACATCTCCTCGCTACCGTTGCACGCCAATAATAACTTTGCTCTCAACATCCGAGTGAATACTGCGAGGACGATGGCTCCACGCACGTGCTAAGATTGTTGTGAGACGCGGAGAGGCCTTGAAACGAAATTTAGTTTTCGCTTTCATTTCCTCGCTAAAATTTGAGTGTCAATAATCAACACGTGGATTGCCCCCCCCCCCCCCCGCCACTAAAAAAGGAATCAAAAAGTCAGAGCCAGTGGTGGAAATTCCACATTCCCATGGCAGGAGCAAACTCTTGCAAGAAGACAACCACTATTAACTTTCTCAGAGTGGGACACGGCATGCGTTATTAATTTCCTGCTATGTAGGTTATATATTTCTCATTGTACAGAATTGTCTATTTTGACGTTGAGTATCAATGTGATGATGATGGCGCTTTGGGCGGCAGAATTTTGTTACCAGAAAGGCACCGCGCGTGTGTAACGACTAAGTCCCTTCGAGCGGCTTGCAGAACGGCGCGGTATAAACGTCACGTAGCACTATCTAGCAAGCCGCAGCCAGGATTTGAACTCGCGAACCTTTCGACTGCGAGCCGTTAGCTCTCCCGCTGAGCCACCATGGGCTGTGGCCATGCGGCAACATCGAAGAGCCGAATGAAGTTGGCGCGCGGGCGATTTGGAGTTCCGATCGCGCGAAACAGGATATCGCCCCCTATTGGTCAATCGAAAGCAGGCAGATTTACTAATACTCGCCTGGTACGCGACGATGTCGTGTACAGCTTCCCATCGCTTTTGTGCGGGTTCGGTTTGTGCGATTCCGCGATTCTGTACATGCGACCATTTCACCCCAAAATTCGCTGTATTATGCGGCTTGAGGTCGCTCCGCATGCGGCTATTCGGCCGGACGTGGGACAGCGCGTGCTTAGAGAGTTTTTGGCTGCTATAAATTTCCGCGCGATAAGCCCAACTTCGTTGAGGTGTCATTTGTGATTGCCAGGTCGCTTCTGAAAAAAGAGTTGCACGGCTCAGCGGGCCTTGCCTGGCGAAAGAAAAAAATGTTTGCGTACCCTGCGGTTTCGCTTTGCGTTACACTTTCGTTTGGAGCACATACTCCTACTACTAATACCACCGCGCAGAGCGAGCGGAACCCTGTGCTGTTGGGCTGGAGCGGTGGCGCAAGCGGTTAGCGCACTGCCCTACCAACGCTAGCGGGCCTCGATTCACGGTGGCGAGCGGCGGTCTGAAACGGGGCCCCGGGCACCTCCCTTCACAACCCCGCACTGACCAGCGTGGTGAAGTATGGTCAAACAACCCCCCCCCACACACACACACACACACGTATCCTACATGGCATGGCGTGGCCTTTGCTCAGCAGCGGATTGACCCATGACTATTATGTTATAATTGTGGGTGCTGACATGGTTTTGTCATGGTCAACGAAACAACCCAGAGGTGACTGGCGAAACTAAATCTCCAGTCGTGGCAGTAGCAACAACACGGGAGGTTTCTCAAATCCCACCAGCCCCCCCACCCACCCCGCAAGTTGTACTACACTGCACATGGGTCCACCGACCAATAGGGTTAAGTCGATCGGCAGGTCACGTCTGGTGGGGTAAAAGATGGGTAACCTCCCACCTCATCGAAGACATATGGCCAGTGTGGAAGAGTAGGCCAAATACCCCTGTAGAGTGGCTCTCTATAAAGGTCCCCCCTCCCCTCTAGCGGAGGCTCTCTTGCGCCAGCAGTGGGGTGAGCGAGCAATTGCAGGCGCTGCACCTTTACTGCTTCAAAAATAATCGTGTTCATGAAAAATAAGTTATTATAATTCTTGCAAGCAGAAAGAAAAAATCAGTCTTCCCGTGAACATGCAAATATAAAACTGAACATACTGCAAAATGCCATTACGACCGTTGCATGCTGCATGCGTTATCAGATATGACAAAAAACGTATCATTCATTACCAACGTTCATATGAAAGCCACGTGAAAAAAAGCACACACACACGGTAGTGCCGTGTGCTGAAGCGTGCTGAGAATCTGCGACCGCGACATCGGCGCCGGATGTCAGCTGTGTCCACAGGGCAATTCAAAACACGAGCCACACGAGGCAGGCTTCATTGATAAAAACATTACTCAACTTTTTCCGATAAAACATTTTTTACGTACAGCTCAAAAAAAATACACTGCCGCTCTTTGTACAGCGGCGCCGGTGAGAATCCGTGCAGCAATACTCCCTGGCTCCCAGTGGCGCTCGTTCCACAACTTGATTGTTTATATATGTTCACATATATAAACATACATTTATAAATAAATACAGTTATTAGACTCTCGATTATTCGCGCTAATGATGGTGCGAGGACCGCCGCGGGATCATTCGGAATCGCGGAAAATCCCAAAAAATGTTCCGTCAATTACAACTCGCAAAGAAAACGATCGGCTAAATCGCTGAAGCGCAACTGGCGCTTTCGATTGTTGCTCTGTCGGTCTGCAACGAATGCCGGCGACCGACCGACCGACCGATGCGGGTGCTTGGCAGCTCCCGCGCAGAAAACTCAGCCCCCACTTGGTGGATGGCGGCAGAGCCACGCCAGTCATCATCAATCGAACGCCCACCAACTCGTTGCGAAGGTACGGAACTCCCGCCACCGTAGCCGTAGAGGCGGTCTCGCGTGTGGCTTTCGGATTAACCGGAGCACATTTTTTGTTTGGTTTAAAAGCACGGGACTTGCGGCGAACATTTCCAAGAAAAAGAATGTACAACTGTTTTTAGATGATTAGTTTGGGCTTAAGGGAGTAAAAAATTCCACGGGTTATTAGTTCGTGTTTAAAAAAATCTCGAGCGCGCGGCTAATCCGCAAATCGGATAAACCGCGAGCGGATAAATCGAGAGTCTACTTAATACGCACGACACAAATGAAGCAAAAACGACGACGACGACGACAACGAAGAGCCGGGCGTGCAGTTGTGCGACGCGCGGAGTCTTCGCCGGTTTACCTTATCAAATGATAGCTTTCAAGAGCGGCAAGCAGAAAGTCGACACGAGAGTTTGGTGTGAGGGAGGGAGGGAGGGGGGGAGGGAGGTAAAGAGAGACAGAGAGAGGTAGAGACAGAGAAAAAAGACGGAGACAGAGAGAGAGAGAGACAAAGGCGGGAAGAGACAGCGAGAATGAAAGATGTTACAAACAAATGACGAAAGGAAAAGAAGGCATTCGAAACGAACGCAACAGTGGACGTGCAAGCAAGGCCTGGCGCCGCACCCCCCCTCCACTCCGCACCCTTGAGCGGCGCTCGCTAACGCCGTGGATGAACTCGGCAGGTCCCCGTGCCCACGCTGGTGTCTGGGCTGCGTCGTGGTGAATGAACGATCTCTGCTTAGGGAAAGGAGCGACCCCCCCCCGCCATCGCCGCCGGTCACGCTGCCGGGGGGAGGGCCAATGCTCCGATTCGAGAACCGATTCTCTCATTGCAGCGCTCCTCCGAGTACGTCGGAGGAGGAAGGATCTTTAGAAATGTGAATTATTAGTTTTTTGGCTCATTCGTAGCATTTAACTTCCTTGCTTCCGGCAGCGTCCGTCTCCGTCTCGTTTGTACTGTCCGTCTCGTTCGGTCCGTCTCGTTCGGTCCGTCTCGTTCGGTCCGTCTCGTTCGGTCCGTCTCGTTCGGTCCATCAGCCTACGGAGCACTTAAACCGTCGGGGAAATCATTTGCGGCACGGGAATAAATACGCGCGCGTGCCATTCGACGCAGCGCGCGTCGTACTCCCCCGCAAGGAGCGATATTAATCGACGAGCGTCGGCGCGCACGCCTAATGAAAAGGTCGGTCGATCCGGGAGAGAAAAAAATATATCTCTTTTGGTCAGAGCGCGGCACGAATCGGGCTCCTCGCTCGCATGACGGACAACGCCGACGATAACGACGAACGAGGGGGGGGGGGGGGAGCAAACCATCAAACCCTCGCGGGGTCCGGGAGCACGAACCCTGCGACCAATGCGACGGGCGCGTTCATCCGCATTGGCGACGTTCATCATCGGCGCGGCCCCTAATTGCGCGCTGGCGGTTGCGATGATCTGGTGCCAATTTTTTTCTCTCCAATTCCCTTTTCCTCCTTTCCCCGGCTACAATGTACCCACGCTATCTGCACGGCGGCACGCGCGAGACACCAACCTCTGCACGATGAATATGGCTATGACCAGCGTGGCTGAGATGACGTCGGTCGTGATCCACATGAGCCTGTAGTCCCCAGGATTCTGGGACAGACACAAGGCGGGGGCGGTTACATAAATACAAACCTGTCGTTTTTTATATATATATAGTGGCGAAGTTCATGAAAACTGTATCTCCCAGCGTCACTGAACCTCTGAGCCACCCCGGCCACCACATCCTGGGATGCACATCGTCAACAGGGAGAGGGAGAGTGAACGAGAGCGGGAGAGAGCAGGAGAGATAATGAGAGAGCAAGAGAGCGAGACAGAGAGAGAGATCAAGAGAGCAAGAGAGCGAGACAGAGAGACAGAGAGAGACAGAGCGAGAGAGCAAGAGAGCGAGACAGAGCGAGCGAGAAAGAGAGAGAGAGAGCGAGAGATCAAGAGAGACAGAGCGAGAGAGAAAGAGAGAGAGAGCAAGAGAGAGAGAGGGAGCAAGAGAGCGAGACAGAGCGAGAGACAGAGCGAGAGAGAAAGAGCGAGTGCGCGCAAGGCGGAGCCGGCTCTTGCGAGCGTTTACCAAGCGCCACACGGGCTGGGGCAGGCGCGCCAGCGAACCGCAGTCGTTGGTGGTGACGGAGCGGGCGCCCGCGCACCACGCCATCGAGTAGATCCACGCAGAGTTCACGACGTACAAGTTCGTCGTCACGTTGTGCTCCGAGTAGTTGCTGCGTCGCGCAAGCGGCACACGGCGATCGGGTTAACAACGACGGACGGACGTCGCTCATCATGGATTGTGAGCCTCCACTATCCCGGTCGCTCTCGGCTCCTCGCCTGGTTGGTTGAGCAAAATTAACTGATTCAAAAAAATAAGAATATGTTTTACCCTTTCTGGTAATAATATTCTAGATTAGAAGTTTTCGTGACTGCAAGGATTCATACTCTTTGGTTTGTTCGGTAAAGTCACGTGGGTGAAAAATTAATTATTTTAATTTTTTACCTACGTGACTTTACCGAAAAAAACAAAGAGTAAGGTGTTAAGATGTTCAAACACCAACTAGATACCTTTTGCACGTAATCAAAAGATAATTTTTTTATACTTTTGATACTGGCCAAAAGGTCCCATAAAATGTACCCGAAACAGAAACTGCGACAGTCGCACGAACGCCGCGCCAAATTCTGCGCCAACGCCGCCCCAAACGCCGCATGGAGACTGACACACTTCCTCCTGCTGGGGGAGGCCGTGCCGCCGAAAAGGGGGGCCCGCCCGCCCCCCTTGAACAAGCAGCAGAGATGGCGATCGTTGCCCCGGACCCCCCATCCTCACCCCCCCCCTCCCACCTGATTTCTGGCTGGCTGATGCCACTGTAGTGGAGGTTGAGGGTCACGATCCGGTGGGCGTGGAGGTAGCTCAGCTCCTTCTTGACGCCCGTCGTCTGGCGGAACCCGGGCGCCAGGTCGAAGGCCACCAGGTCCCGTTTCTCGTCCGGAAGCCACATCATCTGCGAGGGGGCCGGGTGACGGGGCGGAGGGCGAGCGACGCGCGGACACGCTTTCGACGGCGTCTCGTTTTTCTCCCGCTGCCGCCCCCTTCCGAGGTTACCAGTGAGGACTCACGAGTGGGGGGGGTGGGGGGGTCAACCAGTGACCCTGACAGAATCAGAATATGTATCTATACTGGAGGAATCCGATGAGCTGCAAAGCTCTCATTCACAGATGTCCAGTCGGAGAGTCACGTGGCACCACGGTGGGAGAGATGTTAACTACCTCGCCTGGTGCGCAGGAGGAGGACGTGGGTTCGATCCCGACCCGGACGCCTGCTGTACATTTGGAGTTTGCGTGTTTCTCCCTGTGGTCGCGTGGATTTTTCTCCCGGTCGTCTGGGTTTTGCCTCTAAATTTAGAGTCAACGCGCGCTCCGAGTATTTGGCTGCTATAAATGTCCACGTCATAAGCCGCTTCATCGAGCTATCATCTGCGGCCAGGTCGCTTCTGAAAAAGAGCTACACAGCTCAGTGGGCCTGACCTGGCAAGATAACAATAGTTTAGTTTTATACGCAAGTTTTTTGTTTAGTTTAGGAGCTGTCTACATTTTCGCAGGGCGCTAAGTATTATAATTATTACTATTCGGAAACTGCCGTGACTTATGGAGCATAACCGTGGACCAATGACAAAGGTGAATGGAAGGGGACGCGGGGAGGTGCGCGCTGGGAAGCTGCACGGAGACCGGTGGGGGAGTGACGCGCGAAGAACCGGGGAAACAACCGCAGGTTCAGAGACACCACACGGAGCGCGAATGAACATACGTGGGCTTGTACCGGGTGGACTATGGTCAATGGATAAGACTGCCGATGGATTGGCAGCCAAAGGAGAAATAATGCAGGAGGACGACGACCACGGAGACGAAGCGATGAAGGTTGGCGAGCGAGCGAGGCAGGGAGCAAGCGAGCGCGTAAGTCGAGTGAAACTTGGATGGATGAGCGAGTGATTTGGTGATTGAGTAGGTAGGTCATTGATGAGCGAGTGAGCGGGCGAGTGAGTAGGTGAGCAAGTAAACAAGTGGATGAGCGAGCGAGCGGGTGAGCGAGCGGACGAGCGAGCGAGCGGGTGAGCGAGCGGGTGAGCGAGCGGGTGAGCGAGCGAGCGGGAGGGGCGGGAGTGTCGGTACCAGGCGGTGGGGGATGCGCGACGCCAGCACGGCCTGCACCGTCGTCTCGAGCCACGTGTCCGCGTACGGGTGGTCCCAGGGCGGCCGGCGCAGGTCAAAGATCACCGACTGGTTGCGCTGCGCTGCCAAGTGCAGCACCTGACACGCAAGAGCGCACACACGCACACACGTGAACACGCATGCGCCGAGCGGCTGCGGCGACAGCGCAGACGGGTCAAGCTCCTCGCCACCCAGACCGGCGCGGGGCGGCGGGCGGAGCGAGCCTCTCCGTCTGCAGCTCCGAGCCAGCGGTGGAAATTCCACATTCACGCGACGGGGGACGGGGAACGGGGAAAGGGAACCCCCCCCCACTACTCCCCGTACGGCCCCCCACAAGACGACTTGCTGGCGACGCTCCGCCGCGGGGGCTCATCGCCCGCGTTTGCCGCGTCGCTCCGCGGCGGACGGACGAGGGTAGAAACAAACGTTCAGATTTTGTGCCTCGCCGAGAATTCGACAGATGCACCGGTAAAACCCAACGAGACCTCGGACAGCTCGCCGACGCTCTGGTTGCTGGCGAGGGCGCGGTCGTCGGGCGACAGCGACGCCGCGGTGCCGAAGGGGTCGCTGCGCAGGAACCAGGAGCCCGCGTTGAGCGAGCGCAGCTCCGACATGTTGAAGCGGGAGGGGTGCGCCGAGGCACGCGGCTCCCCGAACACGCGCAGCGCGTCTGTCGTGCGCCGCAGGTCGGTGTCGTGCATCAGGAACGGAACGCCGTCCAGGCTGTGTGGGACGGAGGACGGGGGGGGGGGGTGGGTGCAGTCGTTGGCACGAGGAGCAGAGAGTCGTTATCGTCATCATCATAATCGTCATCACTGTCGTCATGATTATTGTCGTCAAACATCATTCGTCATCAACGTCGTAATGGTTGTCGTTATCGTCATTGTCATCATTGTGATGATTATCATCATCGTCGTCGTCACCCTCATCACTGCTGTCACCGTCACATTTGTCACCGTGGTCTTCATCACAATTGATGACAAGACCATCGTTGTTATGTTCATCGTCGTCATTGTCATCATCAGCCGCCAAACATCGTAGCAACACAAGCAAACAATCATCTATTCTACTCTGCAGTATCATCAGCAGCAGCAGCAGTGGCGGTGCTAACCCACCTGAGCATCACGTCTGTCTCTAGTCCCTCGCTGCATTCTGTCGCTCGCTCGAATGACATGATCGTGTTCTCTGGGGCAAGCTGCAACAACAAGACAAATATCCCCTGTGTAGCCTTTAACAGACTGTTGGGGCAAGTGCTGTTAGCGAGCACCTATGAAGGTCGGCACGGACACACGAGGGGGTTGGTGGCTAAAACCAAGCCTGGCCGCCTTTGTCTCCCGAGTGGCGATGTTTACACACCGCACCAGGTACTCATTTGAGGCAGAGTCGGCCTAGGAAAGGCCCAGAACCAGTTCAAATAAATGTCACCGGTGTTGGCCGAGAGCGGGAATCGAACTCGGGTCGCCGGGTTCGTAGCGCTAACCGCTGCACCACCGCTCCCCACCAAGCTGCAACTCGCGCACACGCACGCATGCGTGCTCACGAACACACATATCGGCACACGAGCGGGTGGGTGCCAGCGCCAAGCCCGGCCACCGTCGTCTCGTTTACACACCGCACTGGGTATTCATTTAAGGCCGAGGCGACCTAGGGGACGCTCGCAACCGGTTCAAATATTCGTCGCCGACTTTGGCGGTAAGCAGGAATCGAACTTGGGGGTCGCCGGGTTCGTGCGCGACAACCACGGCGCGCCACTGCACGCGGCCATGACGGTCCCCGGTTGCTGCGGCGCTCGCGGTTACCATGGGCGCCCCGCGGTGTCCGAAGAGTTTTGGTCGCGCCGGGAGGTCCCTCTCCTCCACGATGCAGGGCGAGCGCACGAGCAGGGGCAGCAGGTAGAGCGTGAGCAGCGCGGCCAGGTACACGAGCACGATCGACACCTGCAGGGCTACGCACGCACGAGCACGCGTGAGAGCGCACGCGCGTAGCACACGCGTGTAGCACGCGCGTGACACGCACGTGGCATGTGCGATGCTCGCAAACGCAGGGGGGGCGCTCGTGGCGCGTGCGTGCGCTCCTCACCGAGTCGATCGGTGCGGGCGAACTGGCCCGCGACGAGCCACGCCATGAGGGTGAGTCCCACCACCGCGCCGATGTGCAGGAACGGCGCCGTCGACTGCACCGGGCACGCGCACCAGCAAACAAGGCCCGTTGCCCGAAACGTCGGCAACTCCTCCACACACGCTCATTCCGCCCGAACCCCCGGAGACAAATGCCGTTCTGCGTGATGCGAACCTCACCAACCGTCAGACATTCACCGCTCACAAGCCATCAGTCAACCCACCTGACTAATACCACTCTCACCAGTCATGGAGTCACCTGACCCTCACCATTCACCAACTCACCGCACCACCCACCTGTCGTCAACTCACGACTGAGCGAGGCTACCGCCGGTCGTGACGACGCAGCTGGGGGTGGGGGTCGTTACCTGGAACGAGTAGACGAAGGTGCTCCACTCGTCGCGCCACAGCTCGTACGCGGCGACGATCAGCGCGACGAGGAAGACGAGCGACGTGCAAACGCCGACCTGCAGGTGGGAGAACGGTGGAGAAGGGGGGGGGCGGTGAACGTCGCTCACCGCCTGGCCGCGTTCGCGGCACGCGCGCATAAGCAACGGAGTTTTACGATCGGTTTAAAAAAACAACAACAGCAGCGACCACGGGTTCACCAGAGTAACTGGCGTACGCGTGCCGCGCGCACGGTGGGGTGAGGTGAGGTGAGGTGGGTGACTTGACCTACGGCAGGCATGTCCAAAGTCCGGCCCGCGGGCCAATCACGGCCCGCGGGCAGATTTCATACGACCCGCAGCTTCGGTCTTATAACGTGTTATTTATGGCTCGCCAGCTCTGTCAGAATAAATACATCATTTAAGGTATTCTATACAGTTTGCTCAATGTTATCTGACTGAATGAAAGGCAGAATTGCGTTTTTAGAGTTGTTCCCATCTGCCTGAGCGGCTTATATTTGGTTACATTGTCATTTGAAAAATAAAGGTAATTGTGACAATGAAAATTGTTTCATCACAGTGTGTGTGTTTCCACGTAACTTTTGTGGTTGAAACAATGTTAAAATAAACTATTGGCCCCCGGGCATCTTCACTTTATCAAATGTGGCCCTCTTTACAAATAGTTTGGACACCCCTGTCCTACGGGAAGCCCGGCCAGCGTTTACGAGTCCGCCAAATTGCCCTCTAAAGCAAGAGGGCGGCTATCGCGGGGTGTGGCAGGCGAGTGGCGCGCGCGAGCGCCTGCGGGGGCTGCGCGTTTAGCGTCTACCTCTCCAGAGAAAGACGCGACGACCAGGATTGCCGGAGATCGCACGCACGCACGCTTGAGCGCGGTACGCACGTTTGGGCGACGGCAGGAAACCGATGTGGAACTTCTGCCGAGCGACCGCTAGAGGTCCCCGTGGCTCTGAGAGCGAACCTCTCGAGAGCTAAACACTTTTGCTATTTTACCCGGCATGGACCACAGAGCCACGTAGGTCTATTTCAGAAGCGACCAGGCCACAAATGACAGCTCAACGAAGTGGCTTATCGCGTGGAAAATTTACAGCAGCAGCCAAACACTATCAACGCATGGTGATGTCGATTCTAAATGTGGTGTGAAAAACGGGAGGACCCGGAGAAAAATCCACACCACCACGGGGAGGGAGAGAGACACGCAAACTCCAACAATACAGACGTCAGGGTCGGGATTGAATCCACGACCTCCTGCGTACCAGGCGAGGGAGTTAACATCTCATAACCGTGGCGCCCACGGTTGGGGGTTACGGTGGGGAATAGAGATGATGGTATTTTATTTTTTTTAAGTGCTGCAACCCCCCACCCAGCACCACCGACTACTGCGTAGACCAGAAGCCACTTCGAGGGGCCTCAGAAGTAGCTTTGCGACATCCGCTTTCGCGGGCCCTTCCCTAAACGTGACGCGGGAGATCTGAAGGGGTTCTTCATCACGTGACGCTACGAGCATCTGAACGTGCATCGAACTTGGGGGAAGAAAATAAATAAAAAGTAAATAATAAAAATACCCAAAAAAGATTTTTTTTTTACGGACCGGCGCGACCGCCCACTCACCTTGTGCGTCCAGTGCATGTACATCTGCAGGCCCACGGAGACGTGGCACAGCGCCAGCACCTGTCGGGCGGCGGGCAGAGAGAGGGAACGGAAGATCACGCTCAGGCATCGACGCGCGGCGAAACAACACGCTGGGGGTCGGGGGGGGGGGGTGCGGCGAAGGGGGCGACGACGCAAAAAATAAGTGGCACTGGAACGAGCGGTGACGCCGGGGCACGAACGCAGGCAGGCGAGCACACGTGGACACTGTCGTGCACGCAGGTGAAACACGTGGGGGGCACGCAGGTGAAACACGTGGGGGGCACGCAGGTGAAACACGTGGGGGGCACGCAGGTGAAACACGTGGGGGGTACGCAGGTGAAACACGTGGGGGGCACGCAGGTGAAACACGTGGGGTGCACGCAGGTGAAACACGTGGGGGGCACGCAAACACAGACGAGCTCTGCCAGCGAAGCCGGACCGACACCGACAGCCGCCAGGTGCACTTTGAGGCTAGCACGTGAAGCGTCGGAGGCTCGCCGCCAGGAGATCACGGGACAGACCCAGGTGGTGCCATGGGATGACCGACTGAGATGACCGGCAGATGCACCAGCTGTGTCCCCCTACTGTGCCATATATAGCATCCCACACACACATGCGAACAAAGACCCCCCCCCCCCCCGACCGTGTAGCCTTCACAGACTGTAGGGCCAAGTGCTGTTAGCGAGCACCTATGAAGGCACACGAATGGCACACGAGGGGGTGTGTGGCCAGCAACCACTCCCGGCCGCCTTTGTCTCCCCAGTGGCGACGTTTACACACCGCACCGGGCAATCATTTGAGGCCAAGTAGACCTAGGGCCCAGGACCGATTCAGATAATCGCCACCGGTGTTGGCCGTGACCGTGAATCTAACTCGGGTCGCCGGGTTCGTAGCGCAACGCGCCAAACCTCTACACTACCGCTGCCCTACAAGACAAAGAGTCTAAAAGCGAGCGCCTAATTAACGCCTGCACACACACACACGGCCCTCAATCAGTCATTAGTCTGGAATCAATACGACGAGAAGTCTAATAACGCGCTCCAGCAAATTGACTGCGTTCATTAACGCAACGCAGGAGGCGCGGGGGCCCGTGCCGCTGATGAACAAGTCAGCAAGTCAACAAGTAGACAAGCAAACAATGCGGCGATCGTTGGCGAATAGGGAACACGCGGCGCCATTCACGGGGAGGGGGATTGCGTGCTGCTCGCGCCGATATAACAACAATCTAGCAACAATATAGCCACAATATACCAACGATCTAACAACAATCTAGGAACGATCTAACAACGATCTAGCAACGATATAACAACGATCTAACAACGATCTAGCAACGATATAACAACGATCTAACTTTATTTCCCAGAAGCGACCTGGCCACAAAACGAGCACGATTTATTCCGTGTGTTCTCTTGCGCTCAGACCAACGGGGCGTCGGAAAAAAAAATATATATCCGGTTCACCCTTCCTGGAAAGAAAACAGGAGTTGTGCTAAGATGTTCAAACGAGTTCGCATTAACCACACACAGACGTGCAAACAAACGTAGCTCTGATAATATAAGCATCGTCTTTGAAACTGAATGGCCTACACACAAGACAATGCATTCATTATCAGAGCATGTTTGTGTTTGCATGCTCACCACAAGCACCGCGTGCGGTCAATGCAGACTTGATTTCTTGCAAAAGGTACCCATTTGGTGTTTCAACATCTCAACACACCTCCTGTTTAAAACCTACTCTTATCATACCATTTGGTTTTTTCGGTAAAGTCACGTAGGTAAAAAAATCTAATCAAATAAATGATTTAGATTTTTTACCTACGTGACTTTACTTTGCAGTCACGAAAGCTTCAAGCCTACTCTTATCTTTCATGCTTTGAGACTGGCAAAAAAAGGGTCCCATGATAATTAATATAGAAAGGGTAAAATCTATTTGTATTTTTTCAAAGAAAAAAAAATCACACCCCCCACCACCACGATCATAAAAAATTAATCAAAGACATATCAACGTCAAGTGGTTTCGCGACGAACACCTGCAGACACGCACGCACGCGGCTATACACAAAGACAGCGCGTGGCGGTGCCGGTCGTTCTGCCAGCGAGCAACTCGTCGAGGTCACCATGACGCATGGAGGGGGCTGGGACGTGGCCAGAACCACACCCGGCCGCCTTTGTCTCCCCAGGGCCGATGTCTACACACCGCGTCGGGTGCTCATTTGAGGCCGAGTCGACCTGGCAGAGGCCCAGGACCGGTTCAGGTAATCGCCGATGTTGGCCATGAGCGGGAATCGAACTCGGGTCACCGGGTTTGTTGCGCTACGACTCCCTCAAGTAGATGACGACGAAAATCCCCCGTGTAGCCTTCACAGACTGTAGGGGCAAGTGCTGTTAGCGAGCACCTACGAAGGCCGGCACGGCACACGAGGGGGTGGGTGGCCAACACCACGCCCGGCCGCCTTCGTCTCCCCAGTGGCGATGTTTTTACACACCGCACCAGGTACTCATTTGTGGCTGAGTAGACCTAGAGGAGGCCCAGGACCGGTTCAGATCATCTCGACTGGTGTTGGCTGTGAGCGGGAATCGAACTCGGGTCGCCAGGTTCGTAGCGCAGCACGCTGACCGCTTACACGCTACCGCTCCCCGCGTAGAAACGCGCGCGCACACGCACACACGTGACAATCGCAAAACCTCTCATTCAGCCTTCAAGGCTGCAGCAACAAACACTATTTGTGAAGACCCGTCCAGACACAAAGCCGACTAACTCTGCGTTCGAAAAATAACATCCCACACGGAAAGACCGTCGAGCAGCGGCAAACGAAATCATGAAACTGAAGATCGATATTCTCCGTGCTCACAAGTTCAAAATGTACACGTCTGCAGACGCTTCGTCAAGAGAGACGACGACAAGCTGCCAAGGCGCGGCGCGGGGAACACCGTGCCGCCCGGGACGTTGTTGTCGACGGCGCGAACCCAGGGAGCGCTCGTCAAGGCGGACCCGGCTTCAAGGCGATGAACTTCAAGAGCGACGCAGCAACAAAGCGGACAGAACAACTCCGTGGCGACGAGTCCACAGTGACGCGGTGGAACCGTCCGTCGTTCCAATCGCCGTGCCGGCAGACGGAATCGAAACCGGCGAGCTCCGGATCGCAAGCCCCACCGCGTGCTGCCAACCGTCACGTGACTGTTGGCGGCTCCCCACTTTCGCTATTCCCCCACGACCTCATTCCGAACTTTGGTTTCAACACCGCGCGACCAAACGGACATCGGCGTCTACTGATAGGGTTTTTCCCCTTTTTTCTGGCAACAAAACTGACACCTTTTGCAAAGAATCATGCTTACATTAACCACAATACTTGCAGTCAAATGCAATGTCGTACAGCGCCCGTCGCGCTGTACGACGCCGTGAACGCAGGGGGAGCTCACCAGCAGCATGACGAGGTAAGTGAGGAGCGCGATGGCGATGACGAACATCGGCACAGACCAGCTGTACCAGTAGCCGAGCTTCGAGTAGAGAAACCTGGGCGGAACGACAGCAGCGCGCGCGCTCCATTGCCCCAGCTTTGTGCGAAGTGTCGATGAGCGGGCGTGCGTGCGTCTGTGCGTGCATGTCAATGTCTGCTCGTCAAAGAAGCATAAACCACCATCACGTGAACGGCGGTCATCCTCGCAGCGGCGCTTTTTGGCTGGCCATCGAACAAAAGACGGTCACCGCATCGCGCGTGTCCGTCTGGAACGCTCTTTCCTTCCGATATTAGGAAGCCACTGGAGCTGTGCACTTGTAAATCATCTAGATTGACAAACTCATTTCTTTAGAACAGATTTTTGTGTTTAGATTGTTGTCCGATTAGCATGGTTGGCTACGTACGGTGCAATAAAAAGTTAAGTATACATACATACAAAGACTCTGTCGGCGACCAACAGGAAACCGAATCACAAGCAATGCACACCTTTGCGTGCTGCTAAATCCAGGCCGGTACGGCGCATGAAGACGGGGTCGGGCCGGCCAATCCCAGCGGCAAAATTCCCAAATTCCAGGCGACGTATACAGGAGGTCGCAGGTTCCATCCCGACCCTGTCGCCTGTATATTAGGAGTTTGCACGTTCCCCCCATGGTCGCGTGGATTTTTCCCTCGGGTCCTCTGGTTTTTCCCTCCATATTTAGAATCAACGTGCATTTAGAGTATTTGTTTGCTATACATTTCCACGTGATAAGCCACTTTGTTGAGCTATCATTTGCAATGGGCAGGTCGCTTCTAAGAAAGAGCTATATAGCTCAGTGGGCCTTACCTGGTAAAATAAAAAGTTTACGCTTTATAGAACTGTAAGCAAGTGGACTCGATTTAGAAGCCTGCCACTTCAATCGCTGCCAAAGCTACAATGTTTACCGGCATGCAATAATGGATCATTGAACGAGCACGGGGTATTTAGGAAATGACGAGGTCATAAAAAACCACTATGCCAGCAATAGCTACGGATAACATTTTGCAAAGCACTTAACGGGCAAATAGCTATTACTTAACGGGCAATAGCTATTTATTTATTTACAAATTGGAATTGCAGTGCTTTCGTCATCTGATATATGTTTATGTTAGTATGAAAATAAAACACGGGAAAAAAGTTATACAGCTACAGCAAGCACGACAAAACGACCATTTGCGAAAACGGACGATATGATTATTATTATTTTTCTCTTCCATAAGAGGTTTCTTGGGTTAGATCGCGTAAATTTAAACGTGTCGTTAAACCCGCCTCCACGCGACACAGCCAATTTGTAAGGTTAGTCATGTAAACAATTAGTTACTAGTTCAGCACAACGGTTGTGTTCGAGTACCGTTAAGTTTCGCCGGTAATCACAACAACCAGCCTCATCAGGCGACAGCCAGAATTGGTCGCGAAAGCCCACGCGCTACAACTGCCCTTTTTTATTTTTTTCTCATTACTCAGAATTTTCTCGTCGCACTTTTGGGCTCGACTTGCAATGTGATGATGGCGCTTTTGAGTGGCACGTTTGTGGCGCCACGCGTACGTCAACAAATATAAAACGCCGACTCGACTTATAAGCTGCCAAGGCGATGCCCTGGCAGCTGCTCGCAAACGACGCTCGTGGCGGCAAAGGCCTATCGGTACCCGGCCGGGTATGGGTACGGGTAGCCGTTTGCGACCCTGGTGCAGCCCGGTACGGGTAGGCCGTGAGTCACTGGTGAGTAACCGTTTGTCACTCATTTCGGGTAGGGTACGGGTATGGGTAGGGAACGGGTACCCGTATCCGGCCTGGTACAGGTACGGGTACCCATTTGCGACCCTGGTGCGGCCGGGTACGAATACGTGTAAGGAATCAAAACCCGTTTGCGACCTCTGGGGTACGTGCACGTGCGTTCCAGCGTTAGCAGGTTTGGGGGGTGTACCCCCGATTTACCCCACCCACACCCGACCTGCCGGTCACAGACGAACTGTGGCATATACCCGCTTATACCACTGAGGCGAGCTACAAGGCAATGTTTTTCAGAAGCGACCTGGCCACAAATGATAGCTCAACGAAGTAGCTTATCGCGTGGACGTTCATAGTAGTCAAGTACTCTTAAACGCACGCCGATTCTCATTGTGAAGGGAAAAATCGGAGGACACGGTTAAAAAAATCCACGCCATCATGTAGTCAACATCTCGCCACCATGATGGTGATGAGAGAGACACGCCAACTCCAAATACACTCCAGGCGTCAGGGGTCAATATCGAACCCACGACCTCCTGCGTACCAGGCGAGGCAGTTAACATCTCCTAGTCTCGGGCGGTGGGGTGGAACCGGCGACCTCTGGGTTGCATATCCACCGTGCTGACCGCTGCTCCAGGGGTAGCGGCCCGAGCCGCGGACCTTTGCACGGTGCCAACGATCGTGGCGGCGAAACGTCGCGTCGACCCTACCGGCGTCGCGCAAGCGAGAGGCTTTTTTTTTCTTTTCCTGATGACGATCGCTTGCGTTGTGATCGAAACGCCGTAGTTTTTTTTCGTTCTTTTCTTTTAACCTATCTACGCGACTGCCGAAAGACCCAAAGAATATGAATTCCTGCAGTGACGAAAGCTTTAAGTCTTGATTTAAGCGAGAGGCTCACCACTCAAAGTCGTTGTAGTCGTTGCTGGCTTGGCACCAGAAGTAGAACCAGATGGCGGAGAGAGCGCAGGTCAGGAAGACGAGCAGGAACCACAGCCTCTCCCACTGCAAGACAAAAAAACGTGTAGCCTTAACAGACCGTTGGGGGCAAGGGCTGTTAAGCGAGCAGCACCTACGAAGGCCGGCACGGCACACGAGGGGAGTGGGTGGCCAGCACCACGCCCGGCCGCCTTTGTCGCCACGGTGGCGATGTTTACACATTGTTGTCTAGACATCGCATCAGTTATTAATTTCAGGCCGAGTCCACCTAGGGGAGACCCGCCAAAAGCAACTGCGCCACCGCTCCTGCAGTAATTTTAAGGCCGATCAGACTTAATCCACATTGCACGCACACGCAGAAAAAAACCCTAACACATAAGTTCATGCCTATTATACATTTTTCGTGAAATTACACAAATTGCTATTCGTCGCGAATTCCACACGGATTCTCCGCCGCATTTAAATGTTTTAATATCCGCTGCAGCGGCGGGAGGAGGGAGGGGGAGGGAGGGAGGAGCCCTCGGAAGCCACTGCGCGTGAACGCGGCACGGATTTGTGTTCGCTCCGTAATCGCGATTAGCGCCCCGGAGAATGTACGAGTGGTGCGGATTATAGCGCGCCGGCATCATCGTCGTCATTGTCACGGCGAGCGGCCATCGCTTCGGGATCGCTTCTCCCGTCACACGCGATCGCTCAACGGCACGGATGCTTTGAACGCGCGCCGACCTCGCGGTGCCGCCGTCGATCCAGCGGCTGGGAACCGATTTATTTGCCGGGACATCTTCTTTCTCACGATTGTCCAAACCTTGGCTTCAAAAACGTATTTCCGCGGATGATGACGCTGCTGTTGCTGCTGATGACGCTGCTGCTGATGATAATGATGACGCTGCTGCTGATGATAATGATGACGCTGCTGCTGCTGATAACGATGACGCTGCTGCTGCTGCTGATAATGATGACGCTGCTGCTGCTGATAATGATGACGCTGCTGCTGCTGATAATGATGACGCTGCTGCTGCTGATAATGATGACGCTGCTGCTGATGATGACGCTGCTGCTGCCGATGATGACGCTGCTGCTGATGATGGTGCCGGTGAACGAGCGACTTGACATAACTTCTAACGGTGCCTGAGGAGGGGTGAGGAACCCCAAGCGATACGGAACAAATGCAGTTCGGGTCCTTGCTTATAAGTTGAACTCCTCCAAATGTTGGACCCCCCCCCCGCCCAGCGCTGGCAAGGAGCTCCGTGGCAGGCAGAGGAGGAGGAGGAGGAGTCCATCCGGCGTTCGGCCCTCGGAAGCGAGCAAGGCCCCGGAACGGAACGAGACCCCCAAAGACGATGACCCGGGGGGAGGGGGAGGGGGGTTTGCTTGGCTTTGCTCAAGCGGCAACGCCAGGCGAACAGCGCCGCGTGGCTTCACTTGCAAACACGGATCCTCGTTGGTCGGCGACACCAAAGTCATTCGCCTCCCGTGGAGAGAGCGACAATGAAGCGTAGGAGAAAGCCGGTGGAGAGGCCGCTGATGGCTAACCATGCGTAGTGTGCGTGTGTCAACCGTGCGCAAACTGCCTGTATAACTAAGGCACGCCGTCACCATCCAAGCCATCAGTTTGGCCAGGTTGCAGCCAATTAGCTCGGGTTCATCATCCCATTCCCACTGGAAACGGGGGGGGGGGGGGGGGGGCGAGTCAATGACGTCGCCACGGCTAATCGCGCCGGTTGCCAATTTAGTCGCATGTTGTTTTGCAAAACACGATCAATCGCGTCGCTGTGACGACGGTGCTCTGTCGTGACTGACGACGACGACATCTCCAAGCCGGCTTAGCGCAGCGCTAACAGCTCCGCTGCCGCGCGTGTGTGCGTGCGCGCGTGTGTGCACGTGCGTGCGACGTTTGCTTGCCCCCCCCCTCCGCTGGCGCTCGCTCGCCCACACCGACCTTGGTGGAGTCGTCGTGCGAGCGCTGGTAGCGCTTCCACCGGCAGCCGTACAGGCCGGCGAGGCATGACAGGCAGAGCTGGGGCCGGTAGTACTGCAGCGGCTGGTGCTTGACCATGGCGGCTCCTGCGAGACAAGGGGATCCGGCACACGGGATCAGCGACAGTGGGATCAGCAACAGTGGGATCAGCGACAGTGGGATCAGCGACAGTGGGATCAGCGACAGTGGGATCAGCGGAAGCGGCATCGTCCACGCTGATGGCATCGTCGGGATCGTCGAGATCATCGTCAACGGCATCGGCCTCGTTAGTCGTCGTCGTCATCATCAGCGGTGGCACCGTCGTTTATTAACGGCATCGTCGGGGTTATAACGAACAGCGTCACGCGTGTTAACACCATCATCATCATGAAGAGCGGCATAATTATAAACGATGTCATCATCAAGACCATCAAGAACAGTCGTCGCCAGGATTGTCATTATCATCATCATTATTATCATCATTATGAACAGCATTGGCATCATTATCAAGGCCCGCGAAATCATTTGGTGTGGCCCTGCCAAGGCAACCGCAGGCGGGACTCGAAATTCAATAAATCTAGGAGCAAACCTGGAAAAGCAGTTGCGAGTAGCAGCAACATCAATACCAGCCAACATCACACGCCTCACCAAAGAGAAGCAGTTCCAGCCATCACATTAGGGGTGAGTTAATTAAATGTTTGACCAAATATAAACAGGCTAATTTTTAAGTTGATCATTTTGTATGGCCCGCGAATGATGTTATAAATATCCAAATGGCCCTTGGCAAAAAAAAGGTTCCCCACCCCTGATCTAGACTATCATTAACAGCAGCATCAACACGGGCATCAACATCGTCAATAACAGCATCGCAAGTTGATCCCAATCTGACTACAATAGCTGCCAACTGCCCTACCGGCGTCACGTCACGATATGTTGAAACCGTTCAGAACGTTCTCGCACAGCAGCGCAGCTCGTTGCATCAGAGAAAAGGGGCCCACAGAAGCGGACATCACAGAGCTTCCTCTGAGATCGCTTCACGGTGACCTCTGGCCCACACAGCAGAGGGGGCTGCACCAGAGGTCGCAATCGGGTACCCAATACCCGTACCCTACCCGATACCCGGCTACCCGTACCCAGCCGGGTACGGGTACCCGTTCGCGACCCTGGTGCGGCCGGGTACGGGTACGGGTAGGCCGTGAGTCACTGGTGAGTAACCGTTTGTCACTCATTTCGGGTAGGGTACGGGTACCGGTAGGGAACGGGTACCCGTACCCGGCCGGGTACAGGTACGGGTATCCGTTTGCGACCCTGGTGCGGCCGGGTACGGGTACGGGTAGGCCGTGAGTCACTGGTGAGTAACCGTTTGTCACTCATTTCGGGTAGGGTACGGGTACCGGTAGGGAACGGGTACCCGTACCCAGCCGGGTACAGGTACGGGTATCCGTTTGCGACCCTGGTGCGGCCGGGTACGGGTACGGGTAGGCCGTGAGTCACTGGTGAGTAACCGTTTGTCACTCATTTCGGGTAGGGTACGGGTACCGGTAGGGAACGGGTACCCGTACCCGGCCGGGTACAGGTACGGGTATCCGTTTGCGACCCTGGTGCGGCCGGGTACGGGTACGGGTAAGGAATCAAAACCCGTTTGCGACCTCTGGGCAGCACTTTCCCACCCACTCCGGCGTACGGGAGTGATGTCCGTCGCGCGACACTCACACCGACCGACGTCTGTAATTCTCAGAGTTGGAATTTGCCAAAAATGATCCGGATCAGAATATTTATTCATACTGGAGGAGGAATCCGATGAGCTATGAAGCTCTTTTTCACAGATGACCAGTAGGGACGGGTCAGAAGGTTACAACAACAGACAGTACCAACAACGCAATAGGAGTGCAAAGTATAGGAAAGGTAAACAAATCCTCTTAAAAATATACAAATAAAACTAAACTATTTTTATCTTACCAGATAAAGGCCACCGAGGTAATGACTTATTATTCATAACACAACCTGGCCACAAACGAAGCGGCTCATCACGTGGACATTTATAGCAGCAACAAGTATAACCCGTAAAAACAAAGTTTTTTACTATAAATCCTTTATATGCATGGCGGCTAGAGTCCTCTCGTCCTCTGGCTTGAGATGGCTGCCACCTATGGGTCAGATGATTGCATGGCAGCATTAAGCAATTGGTAATTAAATATAATATTTTTGTCCTATAAAGTGTAACATTTAGGAAAAAAAAATTTTCACGAACATTAATTGTCACGCACAACGCGTCTGTGTGGAAAATGTCAGCTCGATTGGATCACGGGAAGTGGGTTAAAAAACGACCGAAAGATTTGCACGGTCCTAAGCAAGCAAGAAAGTGAACTTAATATAAAGGATTTAAAAAAGAAAATCCTGAACGAGATAAAAATAATTAAGTTCAGAGGGAAATTTTTACGCGATGGGTTTTGTTGTTGTTGTTGTTTGTTGTTGTTGCAAAGTCACCGATGGCCCGGGTTGAGACCAACAATCCCCACTGCATTTGAGAGCCCTGACCCACGAAGCACTGGGCGGGGGGGGGGGGGGGGTCATCTCTGGGCTCCGACCTCCCTGCCACCCTGCCCCCCTCTGCGGTCGTGTAATTTCTTGGGTGCGAGGGGAGGAAGCCGTCTGCCCAAGGGGTCGCTCAACCCTGGGATCAGTCAGGTGGGAGTGGGGGAGCGGGGGCTACAAAAACAATTGGTGGCGAGGAGATATTGACTACCTCGCCTGGTGTACAGGAGGTCGTGGGTTCGATCCCGACCCTGACGCCTGCTGCTGTATATTTGGAGCTTGCGTGCCGGTCTCTTCCCTCTGGTTGTGCGGATTCGTCTCCGGGTCCTCTGGGTTTTTCGCTCCACATTCAGAATCAACGCCACACGTTTAAGAGTATTTGGACGATATTAATTTTCCGCGTGTCGACGAGCCACTTGGTTGAGCTATCGTTGGCGATGGCCAGGGTCGCTTCCGAAAAAAAGAGCTACCCAGCCCTCAGTAGAGGCGAGGCCCTGCCGGATTGTTCCTCGACGCCGGAAATGTCACCGCCCATTCTGCAGAAATGTCAACTCTTTTCGGTATCGATTCGCCCTCCCTCTTGTTTTTAAATGATATCCGCTAACCTCTGCCGGGCTCAACGCACATGTGACTCGCCGCCGACTTGAGACGTTTATTATTTTCCCGACAAAGGGAGCGAGAATGTGCGACGGCACCAAAAAAGGCGCGGGTCATCGCGGTGTAAAAAATGTACAATCGTGTGGTGAACGTCAAAGTAGCGTTCATTTTCGTCACCGTTTAGACGTTGCTGGAACGAACACCATGATCATGGTCGTCATCGTCAATGATGTGACCATCATCAGACATCATTGCCATCGTGATCGTGATTACCATCACAGTCATCATCAGTGTTGTCGTCATTACCAGTCACATTAGTCACTCATTTGTCCGTTCGAACTGTTCGATGCGTGACCCCGCCATCTGAATTATTATTATTATTTGGCGGGGGTGGGAGTCGCGGTTCAATTGAGGGCAGAAAAAATAAACGACCATCTCGTGAAGATTGTTTCTCGTTTGTTCTCATCTCGTTTTTGTAAAATCTCATTCCACTTCAGCTGCCGACGTTTATAATTTGTGTAACATTCGCATCGGCCATTTGTGAACCGCACAGCGCGGCGCTCCACATGACAGTGAGAGAACGCCAGCGTTGGATTTTTTTTTTGCGGGAATTTTCCTTTAAGTGGCCTTACGGTAATTATCATTACTATTATCGCCCCTCCGATTAGCACGTTTGGCTATGTACCAGAGGTGGGACAAAGTCATTGTTATGCAAGTCCAAGTCGAGTCTGAAGTCATCAAATTCATGACTCGAGTCTGACTCGAGTCCAAGTCACATGACTCGAGTCCACACCTTAGAGGTGGGACAAAGTCATTGTTATGCAAGTCCAAGTCGAGTCTGAAGTCATCAAATTCATGACTCGAGTCTGACTCGAGTCCAAGTCACATGACTCGAGTCCACACCTCAGAGGTGGGACAAAGTCATTGTTATGCAAGTCCAAGTCGAGTCTGAAGTCATCAAATTCATGACTCGAGTCTGACTCGAGTCCAAGTCACATGACTCGAGTCCACACCTCAGAGGTGGGACAAAGTCATTGTTATGCAAGTCCAAGTCGAGTCTGAAGTCATCAAATTCATGACTCGAGTCTGACTCGAGTCCAAGTCACATGACTCGAGTCCACACCTCAGAGGTGGGACAAAGTCATTGTTATGCAAGTCCAAGTCGAGTCTGAAGTCATCAAATTCATGACTCGAGTCTGACTCGAGTCCAAGTCACATGACTCGAGTCCACACCTCAGAGGTGGGACAAAGTCATTGTTATGCAAGTCCAAGTCGAGTCTGAAGTCATCAAATTCATGACTCGAGTCTGACTCGAGTCCAAGTCACATGACTCGAGTCCACACCTCTGCTATGTACGGCGCGAAAGTAGTTCGAACAGTAGCCGTCACGCTTACGTAAACACTCTGCCTAATGAGATGGTCAGAAAGGGGGCCGCAGAAGAGGATATCACAGAACTGCCTCTGAAAACTCAAAGCGAACTCTTATCCACAGCAAGGGGCAAAACTTTCCTGCCCGCTCTGCTTCATGAGAGTCATATTCATCGCTACGACAATCAATACGATTTTTTTTCTCCTCATATTTTCAGACCTGGATTTAAGCCCAAATTAAGTGTACAACCCAGTTTAATCGTTTTCTTGTTGTTGTTGTTGTCGCAGTTATAGCCAGCTGTATTGAGACCACCGCTCGCTACACTTTCATCACGGGCGGCTCGGACACTGGTCTCTCGGTGGCGTGCAACTCGTCGTTCGGACCTCCGAGGCCACTCGACTCCACATTCTCGGCCGGTCGGTTCACCGAAATAAAAAGGATCGACCTTTCTCCCGGGGGACTAAAACGGGAGCAGAAAAACAAGCAAATTCTTGGCCGCTCAATTCGGATCGCACGCCCACGCACACACACGCCTCGGGTGGAGACGTTCGCTGGGTAAATGAGCGCGAGAATAAAAAAGACGGCACGTGGACGACGCACCGCCAAC